GTTCAACAACCACCAATCAAAAGCTGTGTGCCCTCCTGCACTAGCCTCATAGGCTATGGCTGCGTTTAGACATGCAGCCCAATTCTGATATGTTTTCCACTAGTTGGTCTTTTGACCAATCACAACAGATCTTTCACGTCAGATTTTTTTCAGAGCTGATCTGATTGGTCAAAAGACCAACGAGTGAAATAAAGATCAGAATTGGGCTGCCTGTGTAAACACAGTCATAGACACACACAACAGCTGCTAAATCGCAAACCTGTGTGTGTGTGTGTGTGTGTGTGTGTGTGTGTGTGTGTGTGTGTGTGTGTGTGTGTGTGTGTTTGTCAGTGTTTGAAAAGAGCATCCCACCGTGTGAGATAAACATGGAGGTTCCAATAGAAAGCTTTTCAGAGGGATGTTCCTATTTCTTTATATCTCCACTTACTATTTGGCTTCTCTTCTCCTCCAGTTTTCTGCTCCTAGATTCATGTGTGTATACATGTACTCAGCACAGCAGTTGAACTCCTGAAGGCCCCATTCTATTTGTTTATCAACACACAGCCAAGTGATTTGTGGGCACTGACAGATGTTTTTTTTTAAACATTTTTATGTTAATAAGCCAGTTTTAGATAAGGTCATGGTGATTTCTTACCTTTTGTGGAGCTTCTTCCAAAGCAAATGTGACAACAAGCACAACAGCATCAATTGTTGGATAGGATGGTGAAAGAGAATAATCTTTAATGCACGCAGGAAGTATTTGTCATTTTAAATCATCACTGTGCATGTTTATTTAGTTAAAATGTTAATTGATTTTAATCTTTTTTTTTCCCTGAGCCTCTTTTGGCCATTGACATGCTCAGTCTGATGTGAGGACCTTAGGAACCAAATGAGAAGATATTGGCCATGTTCGAGAGGATCAAAACCGTAATGTACCATGGGTAAATTGTGACTGACTGACTGATCTACAAATAATAATGAGTAGTTATTTATGATGCAAGGTTCTTTGTAGATCAGTAAGTCGGCAGTCGCTTGCGCTGTTGGCTGCAATGTCGAACAACTCATTTACATACGGAGCCCTGATTGGCTGATAGGATGGTCTAGAGCCCACCCCCTTATCCAGATGAACGGTCATTGGTCTATTTATTATAATCAGATCCGATTGTGACGTCATGAACTGGGCCAAAAACTCCCTCCCATCTGAACAGGCTGAAATTCCAGGCATTTCTTTCAAACAGCTCTTACACTAAAAGGGTATAATCGTCATTTTCACAATTTCACAGTGTTATTTCGACCTCATAGTGTGGAAATATATATTTTTTTAAAACAGGAAATCACGTTTTTAACTGCACTGCCCCTTTAACTAAGGACAGCAGAATATGGGCTATATGGTTCACGATGGCCAGGATATCACCAGACCTTACATGCAGTGTAGAATAACTATGTGGCCTTATGTGTTCTGTTTTTGAATCAGGACATTGCAAAATGCACATAGACATTTATTCATTTAATGTATATTTGATTTATACAGGTAGCCTAGATACCATTGAGATAAAAGTTATATTGTAGTGACCTAGCGACTTCATCAAGCGGTTTGGACCCCCTGGCGTAATGGTTAAGGAATTGGCTTGCTAGTCACTGGATCTGGATTCAAGTCCCAGTTGGGGCTACCCCCAGAATTCACAACAATATATTTAAGCAATAAGGCCTGAAGGGGTGTGGTATATTTGCCAATACCACGGCTAAGGGCTGTTCGACACGAAGCGGAATTCCTGGATATACAGTGAGGGAAAAAAGTATTTGATCCCCTGCTGATTTCGTACGTTTGCCCACTGACAAGGAAATGATCAGTCTATAATTTTAATGGTAGGTTTATTTGAACAGTGAGAGACAGAATAACAACAAAAACATCCAGAAAAACGCATGTCAAAAATGTTATAAATTGATTTGCATTTTAATGAGGGAAATAAGTATTTGACCCCTCTGCAAAACATGACATAGTACTTGGTGGCAAAACCCTTGTTGGCAATCACAGAGGTCAGACGTTTCTTGTAGTTGGCCACCAGGTTTGCACACATCTCAGGAGGGGATTTTGTTCCTCTCCTCTTTGCAGCTCTTCTCCAAGTCATTAAGGTTTCGAGGCTGACGTTTGGCAACTCGAAACTTCAGCTCCCTCCACAGATTTTCTATGGGATTAAGGTCTGGAGACTGGCTAGGCCACTCCAGGACCTTAATGTGCTCTTTTTGAGCCGCTCCTTTGTTGCCTTGGCCGTGTGTTTTGGGTCATTGTCATGCTGGAATACCCATCCACGACCCATTTTCAATGCCCTGGCTGAGGGAAGGAGGTTCTCACCCAAGATTTGACGGTACATGGCCCCGTCCATCGTCCCTTTGATGCGGTGAAGTTGTCCTGTCCCCTTAGCAGAAAAACACCCCCAAAGCATAATGTTTCCACCTCCATGTTTGACGGTGGGGATGGTGTTCTTGGGGTCATAGGCAGCATTTCTCCTCCTCCAAACACGGCGAGTTGAGTTGATGCCAAAGAGCTCGATTTTGGTCTCATCTGACCACAACGCTTTCACCCAGTTCTCCTCTGAATCATTCAGATGTTCATTGGCAAACTTCAGACGGCCCTGTATATGTGCTTTCTTGAGCAGGGGGACCTTGCGGGCGCTGCAGGATTTCAGTCCTTCACGGCGTAGTGTGTTACCAATTGTTTTCTTGGTGACTATGGTCCCAGCTGCCTTGAGATCATTGACAAGATCCTCCCGTGTAGTTCTGGGCTGATTCCTCACCGTTCTCATGATCATTGCAACTCCACGAGGTGAGATCTTGCATGTAGCCCCAGGCGGAGGGAGATTGACAGTTCTTTTGTGTTTCTTCCATTTGCGAATAATCGCACCAACTGTTGTCACCTTCTCCCCAAGCTGTTTGGCGATGGTCTTGTAGCCCATTCCAGCCTTGTGTAGGTCTACAATCTTGTCCCTGACATCCTTGGAGAGCTCTTTGGTCTTGGCCATGGTGGAGAGTTTGGAATCTGATTGATTGATTGCTTCTGTGGACAGGTGTATTTTATACAGGTAACAAGCTGAGATTAGGAGCACTCCCTTTAAGAGTGTGCTCCTAATCTCAGCTGGTTACCTGTATAAAAGACACCTGGGAGCCAGAAATCTTTCTGATTGAGAGGGGGTCAATATTATTTCCCCATAAATGCATCATATGACTTTTTGACATTTTTTCTAATTTTAGTTGTTATCTGTCTCTCAGTCAATAAACCTACATTAAAGATAGGATGTTGTCATGGGCAACGTCAAAATCCTGGATCAATACTTTTTCCCTCGATGTAGCTGAGGTATATTGACCATATTATAAATTGGGTGTTTCAAGCCCTGAATGCTGATTGACTGATAGCTGTGGTATACCAGACTGTATAACACAGGTATGACAAAGCACTTATTTTTACTGCTCTAATTACGTTGGTAAACAGTTTATAATAGCAATAAGGCACCTTGGGGGGTTGTGATATATGGCCAATATAGCACGGCTAAGGGCTGTATCCAGGCACTCCGCATTGCGTCATCCATAACAACAGCCGTGGTAAATTGACCATATACCACACCCCTTCGGGCCTTACTGCTTAATTATACCACAAACCTTTCGAGGTGCCTTATTGCTATTATAAACTGGTTATCAACATTGACGACATCAATGTACGGCAATTATGCATTTTCATCTACTCATACCTCCCAGTCAGTTTACCTAAACGCTTCAATGAATTCTTCCAGGTTAATTCTGAAATCCATCTATATAACACAAGACACTGTTGTAATAACCTTCCACCCTCCCCACGCCCCGCACCTCACATAGTCCAATTGCCAAAACCTCATCATCCATCAATAACTTCAACGCGAAGGACTGGGGGTCAGCCATGATGAACCAAACTACTCTGTTAATCTCCCCATATAGCCCCAAACTACTCACACACCAACTTCCCACACATGCACACACACATTAACAAAACATATACTGTTTTATTTATTTTTGTGATTGCTGATCGGTTAATTTGTACATTTATGAATAATGGGTTTTGTTATCTGTTTACATTTATTTATTTATTTTTGGTGTGGTTTTTATATAAGCCTTGGGCTTCCAAGCTGCACACCGTTTATTATTGATTTGTTTTTATCTGTTTGTTGTTTATCGCTTATTTTCTTTGGTGCAAATAAGTTAAACCTTAAACCTTAATAGAACAGTAAACAAGTATATCTGCGTCATACCCGTGGTATATTGTCTGATATACACACAGCTGAAATGCTGTTTCAGCCAATCAGCATCCAGGATCAAAACGACCCTGTGTATAATGTGCTACAACATCTGGAAAATACAGTAGAAGTACAGTAAGCTACTGTACTACAGCTGCAATCTCTCTCCACCAGACTTCTGTGTGCAATAGTCTGGGAACGACTTTACCACAGCCACACAGCTGTGACAGCTCTACAGACGAATACACCCCCCCCCCCCCCACACCCCCCCCCCAATAAACTTTACACCACACACTCATACACATAAACAAACTTACTTTCAAACAATTTACTTAAATACCGTTTGTTAGAAAACTATGCACAAATTCGTAGTTTTTTTGTAAAGGCGCGTTTAGGCTACAGTTTTTTGTTTTTTTTTTTTACTCACTCCGCAGACTGCAGCAGAGCAGGGTAACATGAGGTCAGACAGACAGCCGACCAACTGGAACAGCTCTTGATATCAGCCTCCCTGTCTGTAGAGCAGTGCCTCCAACGCAGTTGATCTGACCAATTAAATACCAGAAGACTATTTCAGCGGGAGGGGACTTCGATACGTAGACTCTTTTTATTTGCTATGCCCTTTATTACACTTGGCAGGTAGACAACAAAAGTCAACTGCTACCTCTGAAGGACATTGTTGACTTTCTCCTGGGCACAATAGAGTTAAAAACTCACCACGATTAGGCCGATTGGATTGAAATCAGCCACTAAAGAGGCAACATGTCTGGGATCAAGAGTTCAGTGAATTTGCTGAGGGTTGCTGTCAGGTCGCAGATCGTCTCCAAAGCCGCCCTGTCACACAAGCCTGCGAAGCACCACATATCCGCTGGCGTAAGTACATGCAGCAGGTTGCTGCGCACTTTCCCTTTCCTCAATGCTCCCAGCAGCGCGCGTAAAAGCCTGTCCATCCCAAATCCATTAGATTTCTGTCGATATGAAGCATGATTTTGCAGCATTATAAGATTATATCAAAGTAATATGGGTTAATGTAAAGAGGGTGATATTAATAACTGACAATGACAGCTCTCACACTGGTAGGCTATAGGGTCATGGCTAGAAAAGCTACAGCTTTTGTCAAATTAAGGTCAAACGTTTATTTTTGTTGCATTTTAGCTAACCCTACCCCGAACCTTTTTCCTACCCTTAACCAAATTATCCTAACCTGCTACGTTAATTCTCCTAACCTGCTATGAAAAGGCAAATCTAACAAAAGCTATATCCCATCTAGTGAAAACCAGCCTGGTCTATAGGGGAAGTGCGGATAACGTCATTAGCACTTTAAATTCCTTCACGTAGACTAGTAAGTAGTCTGTTGCATGCATGGATAATTCAAGTCCTTTATTTTTATGTGTGTTTGACATTTGTTTTATGTATTTGGTATCGGATAATTAAGCTACTCACATTTTCTGCCTTATAGGCTAGCTCATGTGCATGGAGCCTACTTGAGATTGTGCCAATAATGTGACCTTGTAGGACTTTGCCAAATATAGTCAAACTGTGCCCAATTTGATTTAAATCTACAGGGAAGGATACTGATAGAAATGGCTCACCCCTGTTTAAAGAAAAATTTGAGTTATCTCATCAAGGGTGAATTCAGAACAACTGGGACACTTTTTGCATTTCCGTCTTCTGTAACCTCTTCAAACATCTATCCAACATATTGGCCCAACACATGATATGTTTCTGAAATCCTCAAGATGTTTCCTAATCACACACACACACAAAATGTTGATATCATATTCACAGGAGGCATGACACACCCATTTGTGTACACTGAGTCAAAACCATATTTTCAACTTGCATTTGGTGGACTGGGACAGCAGGTTAGATAAACTGGGACACCCTTATAGTACTAATGGTACCCCAATGGCAATTCAATACAACTGTATGTGATTAGGAAACATCTTGAGGATTTCAGAAACATATCATGTGTTGGGCCAATATGTTGGATAGATGTCTGAAGAGGCTACAGAAGATGGAAAAATCTAAAAGTGTCCCACTTTTTCTGAATTCACTCAAATAAGAGTACTAATAAGAGTACTAATAACAGTACTACAAGGAAAAATGAACAGGATATAGTACTACAAGAAGTAGAGCACAGTACAGGTGGTCCCTAATGTAAACTGGATATATTTCCTCCTTTGGAAATGCCTATAAGACTTTAACTACTCCATGCTGTGCTACTTTAACTACTCCATGCTGTGCTACTTTAGCTACTCCATGCTGTGCTACTTTAGCTACTCCATGCTGTGCTACTTTAGCTACTCCATGCTGTGCTACTTTAGCTACTCCATGCTGTGCTACTTTAGCTACTCCATGCTGTGCTACTTTAGCTACTCCATGCTGTGCTACTTTAGCTACTCCATGCTGTGCTACTTTAGCTACTCCATGCTGTGCTACTTTAGCTACTCCATGCTGTGCTACTTTAGCTACTCCATGCTGTGTTACTTTAGCTACTCCATGCTGTGCTACTTTAGCTACTCCATGCTGTGCTACTTTAGCTACTCCATGCTGTGTTACTTTAGCTACTCCATGCTGTGCTACTTTAGCTACTCCATGCTGTGTTACTTTAGCTACTCCATGCTGTGCTACTTTAGCTACTCCATGCTGTCCTACTTTAGCTACTCCATGCTGTGCTACTTTAGCTAGCTATGATTGGTAAAGCGGGACAACCAAAATGACTGAATTACAATTTAAACATAATACTGAAACATAATATTGAAACATAATATTGAAACATCCCATATGGAAAAGTAATATATGGCAATATATGTATATTACTTATATGTTTTATATGGGCAGATATGGTGGAAACATATGCTTATATGTTTATTACATATATGTCAAAATATATGTGACCTTATATGCTTATATATATACATTTACATTTTAGTCATTTAGCAGACGCTCTTATCCAGAGCGACTTACAGTTAGTGAATACATATTTTTTTTATACTGGCCCCCTGTGGGAATACTATGTGTGACACACAGTATTCAAATGTTTATTACATGTATGCCCCTTACATGCCACAATACATGTTAACAATATGTGTTAACATATTTGTTACGGGAGCATTATTTCAGTGATACTTGTAGTCATGGTAATAAAACAGAATAAACAACAAAACACAAAAAACTTCACCATTAATGCCCTATTTGCAATGATTAATTAGTAAATTCATTTAAGGCATAGTTCACTTTTTTACACCTTATAGTCAGTCAGATGGTTCCTTTCCCTGAAAGTAGTCCATGGGCCAGGAGAAACTGTCATCCATGATTTACAGTTGTTTAAATAGCCACTAATAACATTGAGGTGTATTTGGCCATAAACATTTAAACTTTGACTAATTGCCCCCATCAACCCCATAGTTTTTTTGTTAGCCATCAATTTATTGATTAAAAAATAAATAAAAAGAAACCTGTTATGGTGTATTCATTTTTAATGGGATACTGAGAGCTTTCAAGATTTAGGTCATTTTTCTACTTACTCAGAGTCAGATGAATTGATGAATACATTTTTATGTCTATTGAAACATAATATTGAAACATCATATTTTCAAGATCAAATAATTGTAGGCCTAAACATAATGTCATGGTGTTGTTTTCATCCAGGAACAAGCCATTGCATTGACAGCCTTTTTTGTCACCATCCTGGGGCCGTCTGGTTATGTCCTCGCTCACATGGAGGACTACAAGCACCACTCCTAAGTGGACCTGTCCTGACTGTCCTCCGATCCACTTGACCGGTGCATTACTCCAGATGGTGTCTCCTGAAGTCTCCTAAACCCTTTATATGAAGGATGATTATATTAATGAATGTACCAATAAATGAATGTCCCAATACTATGACTGTCTCATCTTCTGATCTAAACCATCACACACATGCACATTTAAAGCACATACTGTACACTATATATACGAAAGTATGTGGACACCCCTTCAAATGAGTGGATTTGACTATTTCAGCCACACCCGTTGCTGACAGGTGTATAAAATCGAGCAGACAGCCATGCAATTTCCATAGACAAACATTGGCAGTAGAATGGCCTTACTGAAGAGCTCAGTTACTTTCAACGTGGCACCGTCTAGGAGCAACAACGGCTCAGCTGCGAAGTGGTAGGCCACACAAGCTCACAGAACGGGACCACCGGGTGCTGAAGCGCGTAGCGCATACAAACCGAGTTCCAAACTGCCTCTGGAAGCAATGTCAGCACAAGAACTGTTCGTCGAGAGCTTAATGAAATGGGTTTCCATGATCGAGCAGCCGCACACAAGCATAAGATCACCATGCGCAATGCCAAGCGTCGGTTGGAGTGGTGTAAAGCTCGCCGCCATTGGACTCTGGAGCAGTGGAAACGCGTTCTCTGGAGTGATGAATCACGCTTCACCATCTGGCAGTCCGACGGACAAATCTGGGTTTGGCAGATGCCAGGAGAATGCTACCTGCCCCAATGCATAGTGCCAACTGTGAAGTTTGGTGGAGGAGGAATAATGGTCTGGGGCTGTTTTGCATGGTTCGGGCTAGGCCCCTTAGTTCCAGTGAAGGGAAATCGTAACGCTACAGTAAACAGTGACATTCTAGACGATTCTGTGCTTCCATCTTTGTGGCAACAGTTTGGGGAAGGCCCTTTCCTGTTCAGCATGCCCCGTGAACAAAACGTGGTCCATACAGAAAGGGTTTGTTGAGATCGGTGTGGAAGAACTGATTGTCCTGCACAGAGCCCTGACCTCAACCACATCAAACACCTTTGGGATTAATTGGAACACTGACTGCGAGCCAGGCCTAATCGCCCAACATCAGTGCCCGACCTCACTAATGCTCTTGTGGCTGAATGGAAGCAAGTCCCCGCAGCAATGTTCCAACATCTAGTGGAAAGCCTTCCCAGAAGAGTGGAGGCTGTTATAGCAGCAAAGGGGGGACCAACTCCATATTAATGCCCATGATTTTGTAATGAGATGTTCAACGAGCAGGTGTCCAAATACTTTTGGTCATGCAGTGTATATTTTCAAGTAGATAGGTAGGCAGAAGATACATTTCTGTTCTCACAAAAATGGACAAAGTATATATTCTATTATATATACTATTCTATTCTGATAGCTAAAGCTCTTGTGGTGCATTTACAATAATAACAGCAAACTATATACCGGTACAGCATTCTTCAGTAATGCGAGACCCGTTATTCTATTCTGACTGGAAAGAGGGATGCTTTCTGCAGTATATGTGATCAGTAGACTACTGTGGCTTTGCCAATACATAAGTGGATTAGAAAGTAACAAATATTGAGGTACTGCCAACAAACAAGTGAATTTGTAACGAGTAATCAGAACCTGCAACGGAATTCAGCATTGATGATAAGGGCATTCATTATATTAGACTATAGAATTGATGTACACTGAACTAAAATATAAACGTAACATGTAAAGTGTTGGTCCCATGTTTCAGGAGCTGAAAAACAAATCCCAGAAATGTTCCATACGCACAAAAAGCTTATTTCTCTCAAAATGTTTGGCACAAATTTGTTAACATCTCTGTTAGTGAGCATTTCTCCTTTGCCAAGATAATCCATCCAACTGACAGGTGTGGCATATCAAGAAGCTGATTAAACAGCATGATCATTACACAGGTGCACCTTGTGCTGGGGACAATAAAAGGCCACTTTAAAATGTGTAGTTTTGTCACACAACACAATGCCACAGATGTCTCATGTTTTGAGTGAGCGTGCAATTGGCGTGCTGCCTTCAGGAATGTCCACCAAAGCTGTTGCCAGAGAATTTAATGTTAATTTCTCTGCCATAAGCTGCCTCCAACATTGTTTTAGAGAATATGCCCTCCATGGCTGCACCCATGGCTGCACCCCTGCCCAGTCATGTAAAATCCATAGATTAGGGCCTAATTAATTTATTTCAATTGACTTATTTCCTTATATGAACTGTAACTCAGTTAAAACTTTGAAATTATTGCATGTTTCGTTTATATTTTTGTTCAGTATAGATTCGATTTTATTATAAAAATGGTATTTTTGAAAATATGTAAACAACATAGCCTAACTTTTTTATGAAAAGGTTTGATATTCCCGAAGCTACTGAAAAAAACATTGAATCCACCCAGAAAACACTTTCCATTACATTGCATCAGCCACCAGAGGGCAGCTTTTACTGTCAATATTACAGGCTGTGTATCTAAATGACATGGCTCCCCCCACCACTCTTCCTGGAGATCTACCGTCCTGTAGGTTTTCAATCCAACCCTAACCTAATGTACATGATTCAGCTAGTTAAGGTCTTGGTGAGCAGCTAATAAGAAGAATCAGGTGTGTTAAATTAGTGTTGGACTGAAAACCTACAGGACGTAGATCTCCAGGAAGAGGGTTGGGCTGAAAACCTACAGGACGTAGATCTCCAGGAAGAGGGTTGGGCTGAAAACCTACAGGACGTAGATCTCCAGGAAGAGAGTTGGGCAGCCCTGACATATGATAGTCTGATTCTCCTCTTCCTCTATATACATAATGTCAGGAGACAGAGGAAGCTCATCTCATCTCTGCAGTATAGCTGTGTTCACCTAAAATGACACCTCTTATTCTGAGCCAGGAGGCTGGTGTTTGTTATGCGTTAGTGGCCAGTAAAGCGAACACTTGATAAGACCTGTGTTGTGTTCATAAGGCACCAAATGGAAGAAAATGGCTGAAACAGGGAGGGACTACCTGGAGTTGTCCATTAAGAATCCTTCAGTTGTGAGTTCCATTGCAAAACGTTTTACAGTGTTTCCCGTTGCGTGCCCTAATGAACATGACCCAGGCCTTGAACCAAGTGCATGACCCACTCTCTTCCTGTTGCCATGGATATCCCCATTTCCCTCTATTGTATTAGTGGTCAATTAATAATTATATGCTGAGTTTAAATCTAATATAGCACAATGTTTACTGCAATAAATCTTGTTTGTAAGATAAGATATGAATTACTAATGAATCTTTATTACTGTTTAATTACCATTCTGCCATGGACTTTCTCAGTAGATACTTGATAATTACTGTAAAAGTAAAATAAAATGCCAACAATATTTATTTATAAAACATGCCAATTAAAGAGACAATGTTTTTGAAAACATTTTTTACTGAACCTCACATTAGAGTTGGTATACAATATAAATTAGGGTAAATATATAATTTGATTATTTTCATCCAATTTTCCAATGACCATGAAACCACCTAAAATCAACAGATTGTTTTCTCATTCCCATTCTGGACTGAAATGTGCACATAACTGAGATAGCATAGTGGCACACCATATCAAGATCACCCATCCCAAAAAACGTCAGGTATCACATAACATGAAAAACGCCTCATAATATAATCAGATATTCTACTTCATTTTGAGGCTCTCTGATTACTAGTTTAGAACAATGCAACTTTCAAAAGCTTGCACAGTTTACTGAAACAGTATTCATTGATTAATAATTAATTATATATATAATTTCAATATAATTTGCTCAGTATAAGGACAACGCAAAAAAAAACAGGGTCAAATAAAGGGAAACTCATCACACTGTTTCATTCTGTCTTGAGAATGTAAACAAGATTAATGTCAACTTGAAACAACATTTAATATGAAAGGAGCCTGATTTGTAAAGTATTTCACCTACAGAAGGCAGAAAACATACCCAAACACACTGATGGAAGTTACTCACAACACAGAACATTACTATGGACTTAAGAAAGATTGTTTACATTTCACATGCTACTCAAACACTGTAGCTATTTAGTACATAGTCATTGTCTTACATCAGATGACGATTCCGCCTGCACTGATAAGCTTCAGAGCCTGTGACAGAGGTTACACAACAGGTGACAGTCCTTTTTATTCATTCTACCTCACCCTCGTCCTCGCTGCCTGAGCCATGCTGTTGTTGTTGATCTTGTTGTTCTTGTTGTTGTTGTGGTGGTGGTGGTTGTTGTTGTTGTGGTTCTAGACGTAGTTGTGTTTGTAGGTGTAGTTGTTGTCCCTGTGGTATCTGGTCTCTCATTCGTCGCAGGTCTCCAGAATTCATCTGTGTCATGGAACCATCACTCCCCAGCATCATCGGCTGGATAATATTGGACCTGAAAGAAAGAAAAGTCTCAACTCAACAAACATTTATGATGATTCATTATACATATGGCTGCATTGATAATATGTTTACATTGTATTGAACATCACTAATGTTAGGAAAGGAGGTAGGCAAGTGGATTAAGCCACAGGTAGACAGTCTATTTACAAACAGTCCATTTCCACAGTCCATTTCCACATTTCAACAGTCCATTTCCACAGTCCATTTCCAAATTCCATTTCCACATTTCCACAGTCCATTTCCACATTTCCACAGTCCATTTCCACATCTCCACAGTCCATTTCCAAAGTCAATTTCCACATTTCTACATTATAGGTCTGCTAACCAGTTTTATAACACTATGTTGCACAATAGTACATGAATACTCTGTTAGCTGTTTTTGTTTTAGGGGGTAGATCAGCTTTAATATTGCAGATAGATTGTAGCTTCCATCAATGTAATTGTCTGCATCATTTCCAATCCCCCATTTTTTTGTTTGTAAATATATATATATACTGTATATACAGTATCAGTCAAAAGTTTGGACACACCAACTCATTCCATTTTTACTATTTTCTACATTGTAGAATAATAGTGAAGACATCAAAACTATGAAATAACACATATGGAATCATGTAGTAACCATAAAAGTGTTAAACAAATAAAAATATATGTTATATTTGAGATTTTTCAAAGTAGCCACCCTTTGCCTTGATGACAGCTTTGCACACTCTTGCCATTCTCTCAACCAGCTTCATGAGGTAGTCACCTGGAATGTATTTCAATTAACAGGTGTGCCTTGTTTAAAGTACATTTGTGGAATTTCCTTCTTGATGCGTTTGAGCCAATCAGTTGAATAAATTGATTAAAACACACTATTTTGCAAAGAAGGTCTACAGTAGCCTCAACAGCACTCTGTAGGGTAGCACCATGGTGTAGCCGGAGGACAGCTAGCTTCTGTCCTCCTCTGAGTACAATGACTTCAATACGAAACCTAGGAGGCTCATGGTTCTCACCCCCTTCCATAGACTTACACAGTAATTATGACAACTTCCGGAGGATGTCCTCCAACCTATCAGAGCTCTTGCAGCATGAACTGACATGTTGTCCACCCAATAAAAGGATCAGATAATTAATCTAGCTGGCTATGACTGTCCAACACAACACTGGAACTCTTCCAAGTCAAGGTAAGCTTTTGGTTTTAGGGAAGAGGTTAAAGGAGGAGAGCGCATAATGTAGATGCGAGAAGGAATACAACGTGGCTGCTATGAAACTGAACTGTGTTTATGCAATATCAGGAGTGTATTCATTCCGCAGATTCGGTTGAAAAACGTTTCTTAAACAGAAGCAAACGGAACAAAACGGGGATAAACATACCTGAATTTGTCCAATAGAAATTCTCGTTTGCAACTGGTAGACTAATGATTACACCCAATATCAGCTAGATGCAGGCAAGAGTGTGCAAGGCGGTATTGAATGTCACTGTCTGTCACATTAAATTTGTCTCTCGACCTACGTTGTAAACTTTCATTCATAGGCTAGGTTGTAGCAACCTCATGATGGGTACAGGGAAAATTAAGAGTATCATGTAGTAGCCTAAACCTATCGCTGTTACATTTAACTGGGTGAATGGAATATGAATGACAGTCATCCAATATAATGTAATATAAATAAGGCCATGCTCATGAACAGAAAATTGTCCTCCCTCATCTGAAACAGCACTGACCGCCACTGAAATATATATCTATATATACAGTGGGGAGAACAAGTATTTGATACACTGCCGATTCTGCAGGTTTTCCTACTTACAAAGCATGTAGAGGTCTGTAATTTGTGAGAGACGGAATCTAAAACAAAAATCCAGAAAATCACATTGTATGATTTTTAAGTAATTAATTTTCAATTTATTGCATGAAATAAGTATTTGATACATCAGAAAAGCAGAACTTAATATTTGGTACAGAAACCTTTGTTTGCAATTACAGAGATCATACGTTTCCTGTAGGTCTTGACCAGGTTTGCACACACTGCAGCAGGGATTATGGCCCACTCCTCCATACAGACCTTCTCCAGATCCTTCAGGTTTCAGGGCTGTCGCTGGGCAATACGGACTTTCAGCTCCCTCCAAAGATTTTCTATTGGGTTCAGGTCTGGAGACTGGCTAGGCCACTCCAGGACCTTGAGATGCTTCTTACGGAGCCACTCCTTAGTTGCCCTGGCTGTGTGTTTCGGGTCGTTGTCATGCTGGAAGACCCAGCCACGATCCATCTTCAATGCTCTTACTGAGGGAAGGAGGTTGTTGGCCAAGATCTCGCGATACATGGCCACATCCATCCTCCCCTCAATATGGTGCAGTCGTCCTGTCCCCTTTGCAGAAAAGCATCCCCAAAGAATGATATTTCCACCTCCATGCTTCACGGTTGGGATGGTGTTCTTGGGGTTGTACTTATCCTTCTTCTTCCTCCAAACATAGCGAGTGGAGTTTAGACCAAAAATATCAATTTTTGTCCTTCTCCCATTCCTCCTCTGAATCATCCAGATGGTCATTGGCAAACTTCAGACGGGCCTGGACATGCGCTGGCTTGAGCAGGGGGACCTTGCGTGCCGTGCAGGATTTTAATCCATGACGGCGTAGTGTGTTACTAATGGTTTTCTTTGAGACTGTGGTCCCAGCTCTCTTCAGGTCATTGACCAGGTCCTGCCGTGTAGTTCTGGGCTGATCCCTCACCTTCCTCATGATCATTGATGCCCCACGAGGTGAGATCTTGCATGGAGCCCCAGACCGAGGGTGATTGACCATCATCTTGAACTTCTTCCATTTTCTAATAATTGCGCCAACAGTTGTTGCCTTCTCACCAAGCTGCTTGCCTATTGTCCTGTAGCCCATCCCAGCCTTGTGCATGTCTACAATTTTAACCCTGATGTCCTTACACAGCTCTCTGGTCTTGGCCATTGTGGAGAGGTTGGAGTCTGTTTGATTGAGTGTGTGGACAGGTGTCTTTTATACAGGTAACGAGTTCAAACAGGTGCAGTTAATACAGGTAATGATTGGAGAACAGGACGGCTTCTTAAAGAAAAACTAACAGGTCTGTGAGAGCTGGAATTCTTACTGGTTGGTAGGTGATCAAATACTTATGTCATGCAATAAAATGCAAATTAATTACTTAAAAATCATACAATGTGATTTTCTAGATTTTCTATTTATTAAATTACAGACCTCTACATGCTTTGTAAGTAGGAAAACCTGCAAAATCGGCAGTGTATCAAATACTTGTTCTCCCCACTGTATATACACCTGTTCTGAAAGGCCCCAGAGTCTGCAACACCACTAAGCAAGGGGCACCACCAAGCAAGCGACACCATGAAGACCAAGGAGCTCTCCAAACAGGTCAGGGTTAGTTGTGGAGAAGTACAGATCAGGGTTGGGTTATAAAAAAATATCGGAAACTTTGAATCCCACGGAGCACCATTAAATCCATTATTAAAAAATGGAAAGAATATGGCACCACAACAAACCTGCCAAGAGAGGGCTGCCCACCAAAACTCACGGCCCATGCAAGGAGGGCATTAATCAGAGAGGCAACAAAGAGACCAGAGATAACCCTGAAGGAGCTGCAAAGCTCCACAGCGGAGATTGGAGTATCTGTCCATATGACCACTTCAAGCCGTACACTCCACAGAGCTGGGCTTTACGGAAGAGTGGCCAGAAATAAGCCATTGCTTGAAGAAAAAAATAAGCAAACACGTTTGGTGTTCGCCAAAGGCATGTGGGAGAATCCCCAAACATATGGAAGAAGGTACTCTGGTCAGATGAGACTAAATATGCCATCAAGCAAAACGCTATGTCTGGCGCAAACCCAACACCTCTCATCACCCCGAAAACACCATCCCCACAGTGAAGCATGGTGGAGGCAGCATCATGCTGTGGGGATGTTGTTCATCGGCAGGGACTCAGAAACTGGTCAGAATTGAAGGAATGATGGATGGCGCCTAAATATAGGGAGTTTCAGTCTTCCAGAGATTTCAGACTGGGACGGAGGTTCACCTTCCAGCAGGACAATGACACTAAGTATACTGCTAAAGCAACACTCGAGTGGTTTAAAGGGAAACATTTAAATGTCTTGGAATGGCCTAGTCAAAGCCCAGACCTCAATCCAATTGAGCATCTGTGGTATGACTTAAAGATTGCTGTACACCAGCGGAACCCATCCAACTTGAAGGAGCTGGAAAAGTTTTGCCTTGAAGAATGGGCAAAAATCCCAGTGGCTAGATGTGCCAAGCTTATAGAGACATACCCCAAGGGACTTGCAGCTGTAATTGCTGCAAAAGGTGGCTCTACAAAGTATTGACTTTGGGGGGGTGAATAGTTATGCACGCTCAAGTTTTCAGTTTTTTTGTTTTATTTCTTGTTTGTTTCACAATAAAAAATATTTTGCATCTTCAAAGTGGTAGGCATGTTGTGTAAATCAAATTATACAAACCCCCAAAAAGTCCATTTTAATTCCAGGTTGTAAGGCAATAAAATAGGAAAAATGACAAGGGGGTTGAATACTGTAGCCCTAAACACTTCAGAATTAATCCTGCTGCTTCTGTTAGCAGTCACATCATCAATAAATACAAGGGAACCAGTTCCATTGGCAGCCATACATGCCCATGCCATAACACTAACTCCACCATGCTTCACAGATGAGGTGGTATGCTTCGGATCATGAGCAGTTCCTTCCCTTCTCCATACTCTTCTCTTCCCATCATTCTGGTACAAGTTGATCTTTGTCTCATCTGTCCATAGGATGTTGTTCCAGAACTGTACAGGCTTTTTTAGATGTTTTTTGGCAAACTCTAATCTGGTCTTCCTGTTTTTGAGGCTTACCAATGTTTTACATCTTGTGGTAAACCCTCTAAATTTACTCTGGTGAAGTCTTCTCTTGATTGTTGACTTTGACACAGATACGCCTACCTCCTGGCGGGTGTTCTTGATTTGGCCAACTGTTGTGAAGGGGTTTTTCTTCACCAGGGAAATAATTATTCTGTCATCCACCACATTTGTTTTCTGTGGTCTTCCAGGCCTTTTGGTGTTCCTGAGCTCATCAGTGCGATCTTTCTTTTTAAGAATGTACCAAATAGTTGATTTGGCCACACATAATGTTTTTGCTTTCTCTCTGATGGGTTTGTTTTGATTTTTCAGCCTAATGATGGCTTGCTTCATTGGCAGTGACAGCTCTTTGGACTTCATATTGAGTGTTAACAGCAACAGATTCCAAATGCAAATGCAACACTTGAAATCAACTCTAGAACTTTTATCTGCTTACTTGTAAATTAACTAATGAGGGAATAACACACACCTGGCCATGGAACAGCTGAGCAGCCAATTGTCCGATTACTTTCGGTCCCTTAAAAGGGGGGGACCACATATCAAAAGTGCTGTAATTCCTACACCGTTCACCTGATTTGGATGTAAATACCCTCAAATTAAAGCTGAAAGTCTGCACTTTCAGCTCATATTCATTATTTAATTTCAACTCCAATATGCTGTGGTAGACAGCTAAAATAATAATAACTTGGTCAATGTCCAAATATTAATGGACCTGACTGTATATATATTTATACAAATATACATACATACACTGTACATACATATAAAATACATATATATATATATATATATATATATATATATATATATATATATATATATATATATATACTCTGTTAGCTGTTGGTAACAGCTCCTGCCTCAGCTCATTACTGATGCATGAACCACAGTGGGAAGGAAAGAGATGAGGACACCTGCTGGGAGCCTGTGGCACTGCTGTAGTGAGCTATTTGTGTCTGTGACCCTGTTCGAATAAATGCATCCTTCCTTATGCTGTTCTTTAGAGTAATCCCTGGTCTCACATGACTGGGTTTCTGTAGGATATCTAGCGGAGTCCTGGGTTTCACCTATCCAATCATTTTAGATCAGCGATTAGGCTACTTTGAAAATGCATCTTTACCTGGAGAGCTTATCAAACATGTTGACCAGCTTCATGGCCTCCAGCTCCTTCTGTTCCTCCGTCATTCCCTCCATGGGGTTGGGCTGCTCATCCTCCACTCTGCCTGTCACAGGGTTAATTCTGGCCAGGACAGAGAACACAATGTTACTCATTCTGATGAAGGCCAAGATGACCGAAACTAAATGTAAATGATTTTTAACTCTTCTAAATAAAGGATGTATTTATTAATTTCAAGAGCGAAAGCTGTGTCTGTTTCCCCCAAGGACAGAGGACAGAGCAGGGCCATCACATCACATGGCTCTATTATTAATTAAGTTAAATTCAGCTCACTGAGATTTGGCCTCGCGGTACTCTTCTGTGTCACTGTCCTCGTCCTCAGAGTAGACGCCTGGGTTGCCCCCCCCTCGCAGCAGCCCCCGGGCAGCCAGGAGACCCGCTGCATTGCCATAGCCTGTGTACTTAATGAACCTGGACACTGCACAGGGGACGGAAAGGGGTGTGGATGGGGGAGAAGAATGATATTACAAATCCTATAGTTTCCATATTATGGTAGTCTCATGTTACCATACATCCAAATCTGTTTCATCACTCGGCTATTGAGAAAGCCAGAAATCAAGGTTCCTACTATGATGGACAACAGTGAACAACACAGTAATAGAGGGTACACACTTCGGGGCTTTATGAATTGTAGAAAATTAAAGTAACTATTTGATATGCAGAGAAAGACACCACCACTCACCACTTTCTTTGCACAGGACGAATAGGAATTCTGCTGCACAGTTCTTGACGTCAGTGTCAATGTTGGTCATCAGGCGAACAAGCTTGTTGCGAAGAGCGTTCCCCACTTCTGGTAGATTCTTCACATCCCGCAGAGGAGGGAGTACCTACACACACACACACACACACACACACACACACACACGCAAGCACACACACACGCACACACACACACACACACACACACACGCAAGCACACGCACACACACGCAAGCACACGCACACACACACACACACACCAAGAAACACACCAAGAACCAACTCAATGGGACATTCAGTAATTTACATGCAGTTGGATGAATGATGAGATGAAACATCCAATCACGTACCTTCATCCTGAGGAACTTCCTGGTCTCCCTGTGGATGCGGGCGCTCTCAGTCAGCAGGTTGAGAGAGGGGAGCATGGTCTCCTTCAGTTTCTTGCCCTGTAGACCAACACACATAACTGTTATTAGACAGATATTACAACAATCTCTTCAGCTAGACCCACACAGACCAATACTGTGGGTGTTATTAGACAGATATTATAAACTGGGTGGTTTGAGCCCTGAATTCTGATTGGCTGAAAGCCATGGTATTTCACGGGTATGACAAAACATTTAGTTTTACTGCTAGTTGGTACCCAGTTTATAATAGCAATAAGGCTCCTCGGGGGTTTGTGATATATGGCCAATATACCACGGCTAAGGGCTGATTTTATGCACGACGCAACGCCATATACCACACCTCCTCGGGCCTTATTGTATTGCTTAATTATCGAAGTCTCTCACAAGATTTGGTTCTGGGTGCCGAGATTAATTATTGCAGTGTCACTTATGAATGAGACTAGACTGTTTTGTTGGTGAGGCCTTCCAGCTGTGTCCGGGTTGTTTTCACTATATCCCCAAAGACACTGGTGTGCCTTCCATAACACCTTCCTCAATAACAACATCCCATTTGGAGAGGTAATCACATCCCAACCACACACCCAGACACCCTCTGCAGGGACATTATTACATCACCTGTAAAAACCTCTGTGGATGGGACACAGAGAGCAGCTCCAGGAGCGAAGACAATACAAGAGATCCAAGAGATGGCAATAAACGGATACACACTAATGCCTGTCCAAACAGTGTGTGCATGCAACTGTTTATGGCACCCTCATGAAAACATGTTGTCTATGTAATGCAGATTTGAGTTTTACCTAATTCCATTTTGGGTGCTGTAAACTACGCCCACTGACCGTTACGCTTTCATCCGACCAATCTCATTCGTTCTGCCCTCGAGGCAAAGCTGCCCTCGGAACAAGATTGAAAACTCCACTGAGCATTTCTAACAGCATCTCAACCTGTTGTTGAGGGTCAAAACCCAGCTCACCCTGTCTAGCCTCTTCTCCATGTACTCCAGGAGCATGTTGACGGCGTCCATGTTGACTCCCATGTATTCTATTGAGCCCTGCTGAACCTTGGGCATCAGCAGCACATCCAGACAGGACAGAGGGAGGTTCCCCAGTAGGTTCAGTGAATGACTGCAGCCCAGGAGAAACACAAAGGGTTATCACAGAACTGCAGGCCAGGAGAAACACAAAGGGTTATCACAGAACTGCAGCCCAGGAGAAACACAAAGGGTTATCACAGAACTGCAGGCCAGGAGAAACACAAAGGGTTATCACAGAACTGCAGGCCAGGAGAAACACAAAGGGTTATCACAGAACTGCAGCCCAGGAGAAACACAAAGGGTTATCACAGAACTGCAGGCCAGGAGAAACACAAAGGGTTATCACAGAACTGCAGCCCAGGAGAAACACAAAGGGTTATCACAGAACTGCAGCCCAGGAGAAACACAAAGGGTTATCACAGAACTGCAGGCCAGGAGAAACACAAAGGGTTATCACAGGACACTGTTTAGCTCAGGGTGTGTCAAACTCAATTCCTGGAGGGCAGAGTGTCTGCGGGTTTTCGCTGCTCCCTTACTTGATTGAACAATTAATGCCAACCTGGTCATCACCTGGTTGTCTAGGCCTAAATTGGACACAAATTGAAAGGAAATAACAAAATCAGCAGAGACACGGGACAGCCCTCCAGGAAGTGAGTTTGACACCCCTGGTTTAGGTTCAGAACGCCTTTACTAAGATAATAAGATCTGCCCTGTTACCTGTGAAACTCCTCTGTGTCGTCCTGTGTGTCAGCGCTGCTCATCAGACAGTGTCTGAGGATGGCTCCCAGGTGTCTGAACGCCGCTGCCTCCTCCTATAGGTTCAGCAGAGGAACTGTGATTGATTATCATTATATTGATGTACGACAACAACACCATGCAAAGTTTACAATATACAGTAATATGCTATTGAGGACAGGGTTGGGGCCAATTCCATTTCAGTTCAGTTTACCTCCTGCATTGACTGAACTGACATCGAATTGACCCGAACCCTGATGCCGGATCCTCTACTCTCCTCAGTGCTCACCTCGTCCACCTCCCGGCGGTTGGCGTCGTAGGTGATATTGAAGAGGATCTTGAGGATCTCCATGGCTCTCTCGATCTTCTCCCGGCTGAGAGGGGGCAGCTCGGCCGGTTCCTCAGAGTCCGGATCGACCTCCACCCCAGCCCGCGCCACCTCGAAGGTATCAGGCCAGCACAGCCCCAGGGTAGCATCCAGGTGGTTGGACAGCAGACTGACCCCCCGCAACTCCCTCAACAGCTGGGTACGCATCACCACGCGCTGGGCGGTGAGGAGGAACATGAGGCGTAGGTCGAAGAACCTCACGTAGTGGTTCCACTGGTCCTCGCCACACTGCTTGAGACGCTCCGCGATGCCAACGATCAGCTGCAACTCCTGGCCCACCTGCACAGCCACCTTTGTTAAAGAAAGAAAGGAATCATTAGGAATGCGTTCCAAATGGCACTCTATTCTGTTACAGGAGTGGGTCGCAGTTCCGGAGCGACCCACTAGGTGTCATCCTCCGACAACCTTAGGCACTTCCTCACTCACAGTCGGGACTAATCATCTCCCTGTTGGTGTCACCTGTGTCTATCTGATTCACCTGTGTATTTATGCCCTCACTTCCCTGTGTTCCCTTGCTCAGTTTTCTCTGCTAGTTTCACTATGCCAAGCAGTACTAATCAATGTCTGATCTCGGGACATATGGACAGGTACGTGAGAAGTGTTCTCCATGTTTATTTATTATTATTATTATTTATTATAGTTAGTATTTCGTATTTTTGGCTGTCCGCCTGTTTTTTTTAGTCTTATTTGCTCCGCCTTTCTTTTTCGTGTAAAGTCCGTTATTTTGTATCCTGGCTTCGGGACCATCAGTAAAGATCCTTGTTTCACCATCTCTGCCTACTGCCTACTGTCTAACCTGCACCGCACCTGGGTCACACCTCACACCAACCCTTACACTACTCCCTTTACAGTGCACTACCTTTGACCTGGGCCCATATAGGCTACATCCCAAATAACCCCCTATTCCCAATATAGTACACTTCTTTTGACCATAACCCAATGGACCCTAGTCAAAAGTAGTGCACTATAAAGGGCATAGGGTGTTATTTGGGAAGCATCCTGTATCATTATGGTGCAGGAATACAAAGTTCTGGGGAGCAGTTATAGACAGCATTCTTTATATTCTGAACTCTTATTTCTTTATCTAAATATCATTTTTGCCCAGCACCGACCAGTATTCTCCAGTGTGGTTAAGCCTATATCATCACATCACCCTATTTTTTTCTCCACCTTGTTGTGCAAGCAGATGTTGCAGATGCTCTTCAGCGCCTCCACGATGACCTCCAGGTCCGGGTTCTCAGCAAAAGGGACGAGGACCACGCCGCCCTCGCAGTCCACGTTGCCGTGGGAGATTGCGATGCCAGCGTGTCGGCTGAGGGTCTGCATGGCAGTGTGCGTGACGAAGGGCGCCACGTTGTTCTTGTCACGTGACAGGATGCGGATGGTCTCCAGACAGGCCAGCTGGCAGGACGGTTGGAGGTCTCGCTCCAGGAAGCCCAGCACCAGCTCTCCTAACCTCTGAGGACATAGGGGGACGCAAGCAACAGCATCACTAGACCAAAGTGCTCAGTATGCAGGTATGACGGCACTGCCATGCCAATGGGGTGCTGCAACTACAGTACAGTAAGCATCCCACACAGGCCTTTCACCATCTCCAGAGGAGAGGATGGGATGGGAAAATTGCTTATTTTCATGAGGTTCAACATCAACGGGGAATAGGTGTTTAGGAGGTTCTTCCACTAGTTCTGCATAAGGTATAGGTTTAAAGTTTCAGAAAGTCCTCTGTTTGGGCTTACAGCTGTGTAAAATAGACCAAGTCAGAATCAAAGCTACCAAGCTACCCTGTGATCTGTGAGTATCAACAATAATTTATCTTCCTTTCTAGAGATATCACAGTAACACCCTATAAATAGCCTTTTAATACTAGACACACGATGCCTCTGACAAAGAACTGTCTCGTTTGACTGATATGATGACGGGAAACAATCTCGATCAAATCTCTGCATGTCTATGGGCCATGATAGTGACTGGCAGCGGTCTACACAAAAGCTGTCACACTGGGACGAGCTTGGACGCATTATTCACTGGGGTCTCAGATGCTTCCAATATACATAAATAAAGTACACATTCCACGTCATCAATAGCCAGTATAATTGAACGCCATCATTGTGAATTTGAATCAATTTAAATCAAATTAAGAGTTTCACTCTCTTTATGAAGCTAGACTACAGTCCAACATGAGGCGGCAGGTAGCTTAGTGGTTAAGAGCATTGTGCCAGTAATCCGAAAGGTTGCTGGTTCTAATCCCTGAGCCGACTAAGTGAAAAATCTGTCGATGTGCCCTCGAGCAAGGCACTTAACCCTAATTGCTCCTGTAAGTCACTCTGGATAAGAGCGTCTGCTAAATGACAAAAAATATATATATATACATTGCTTTGTCATTATGAAGGTAGACTACAGTCCAGCATTGCTATGTCATCGTCAGACAGACACGCCATAACCAAGTAAAGTTCAGGATCATGAGTCTGTGCACATCAGATGTTTTCCTGTCCTGATATAACACCCAGAGGGCCCTGAATGTCCTGAGGCAGTAAGTTAAAGGCTTCAGAAACAGAATTATAGCTGCCTCAGTCAGGAGTCTGGGCCATTTAGGGTTTCTCCCAAATGGCACCCTATTTCCTCTGTAGTGCACTAATTTTGATCAGGGCTCTGGTCAAAAGTAGTGCATTATATAGAGAGAATAGGGTACCATTTGGGATAAACCCCAAGAAATGTAGGGCTCACAGCATAATGCCTTCCCTGCCCTTTGGGAGACTAAGTGAGGACGAGTCAGATGTTAAATGTTGAGACTGAGTGATGGTTGCTGCTCACTCAGATTGCCTGTGCTGTGCTCTATACTTGGGACAATTATGATAATGAGAATCGACAATGCCCTCATCAATTAGTTTCCTATTTAGCTTGTGTTCTGTGAAATCTCTAGAGATAGCATGTGGCTACCAAAATAAATAGCTTCGAGGGATAGGACACAGCAAATGTAGGACATCAGATAAGAATGACATAATAGCTTGTAACTAGTTGTAACCAATTAGGCTGATGCTAGTCAAAGATACTGTACAAGTTACAGATCCCTATTTCTCCAAAACACAGTACATGAACGCACACTTCCTGTCGGTCTAGAGTATTTCTCCAAAACACAGTACATGAACGCACACTTCCTGTCAGTCTAGAGTATTTCTCCAAAACACAGTACATGAACGCAGACTTCCTGTCGGTCAAGAGTTTTCCTCCAAAACACAGTACATGAACGCAGACTTCCTGTCGGTCAAGAGTTTTCCTCCAAAACACAGTACATGAACGCAGACTTCCTGTCGGTCAAGAGTTTTCCTCCAAAACACAGTACATGAACGCACACTTCCTGTCGGTCAAGAGTTTTCCAGGTTCTCCAAACTGAAATTAACTCACCACGGACACAAATAGTGTCTGTGTCCCAAATGGTACCCTATTCCATATATAGTGCACTGCTTTTGACCAGGGCAAGTAGTGCACTATATAGGGAATAGGGTGCCATTTGGGATACAAACCAGTATCTACTAAGCTCTTGCATAATGCCTTCTTTCAGATAGGGTGCTGTGTCAACAGTGGACTAACCACATCCCACATTTAACTTTGCAATGACATTGAGAATACTTGAACATGCTGGAAAGCTGTTGTCGATATTGGCCTATACCCCAGGAGTAGTAAGCCCTAAGTAAGTATGTGGCAATAACATTTGTGGAGAGGGACTATAAAGTTACATACAGCTATGGACAGCATCTCCAAGGATGATCAAATGATAGGGACTCTCAAGGAAGTATGGACTATATTTCAACACACTGCGAACAGAGTGGCCTATGATCTCTGCAAGGAGCGATGGGCCTAAGTAAATTTCAACACGTCAGTGATAAGACTGATAAGCCTAATTCTGATGGATATCAGACGACATGCTGTCAATAATGGCAGAAGTGCAGGAGAACATGGGGTACACCCAGGAAGAGGGCCCCTGTAGATGTGAAGACAATGTCTTGATCACATGTTGCAGATTGTCTCTCATGACAATAGTGTTCTATGTCTACTTCTACCAAGAGGCTAATATTCTGTCACATGGAACCCAAAGTGTATTTCTTGATATAATGTAATAACAATTATTAAACAACAAAAATACTTACATTATGCCAAATGTCTAAATACATAATTAAGAATTGAATTTCTTATAGAGATAAACTTTGGGTTCAAATATACTAAAAAACTACCATTACACACGTATACCTCCTGTAACTCCCCATCCTGATACACAGGCATGCAAGAAGAAAGAGATGAAAGATGAAAAAGAGAGTTAGGACAGAGGGGATTTGGTGATACTGACCTGCATGGGTTACACCATACTCTATACAGTATGGTTGATACCAACTATAATCTTTGGTGTTTTGGGCTATATCCCACTGTGTTTCTACATAATCTAGATTACAAGCAAAAAAGTATAGCTAAAAAGCTGATCATTCCAATGCCTCACTGACCAATGACAGTACAAGGGAGATAGGGTGCCTTTTCAGACGGAGCCTATTCCCTAGACAGTGCACTACTTTTGACTAGGGCCCATAGGGATCCGGTCAAAAGAAAGTGCACTATATAGGGAATAGGGTGCCATTTCAGACGCAACCATAGTAACAGTACAAAATAAAAACAGTACCTCTCTCTGCTCCTCTTCATCTGTGGTAAACATGAAGCACTGGGTCATCTAGGAGGAGGCAAAAAAGAAAAGAGAAAACATTATAAAACATTTCACAACAAAACAGCTACCCTAATACATAATTGATTGTGAATTAGCATACAGTACAGTATATATAGAGTGCTTATATTCCAGTGGTGCCTGAGAGCTTTTGATTTATTTTGTCCCTGCAATGAACTGTGATGTAAAGGTGTGAGGACGGTGACTTATTTTTAGATGCTGCCAAATAATGAGATGAGTGAATCATTGTCATCCTGCTCTCTCTCTCTCTCTCTCTCTGTCTCTCTCTCTCTCTCTCTCTCTCTCTCTCTCTCTCTCTCTCTCTCTCTCTCTTTGTCTCTCTCTCGTCTCTCTTTCTGTCTCTCTGTCTCTGTCTCTCTCTCTCTCTCTCTCTCTCTCTCTCTCTCTCTGTCTCTCTCTCTGTCTCTCTCTCTCTGTCTCTCTCTCTGTCTCTGTCTCTCTCTGTCTCTGTCTCTGTCTCTCTCTGTCTCTGTCTCTCTCTGTCTGTCACGGATTCAGCCGAGGCTGCTCCTCCTCCCTGCTCGGGCAGGCTTCGGCGTTCGTCGTCCCCGGAGAGTACTAGCTGCCACCGATCTATGTTTCGGTGTTTGACTTGTTGTGTCTGATTGTGTTACACTGTTCACCATTATGTTGTTTTGTGTCATCGACAGTGTAACGGTGTTAGTTTCTCCGTTGTTGGAGACTGTTCATTTCACTGGCGACTTTTATTAAAGTACGATTTCCAGTAGCTCCGTGTCCTGCGTGTGACTTCGCCTACCGCATTTCACTGTCGCCGTTTCTGACACTGTCTCTCTCTCTGTCTCTCTCTCTCTCTGTCTGTCTCTCTCTCTCTCTCTCTCTCTCTCTCTCTCTCTCTCTCTCTCTCTCTCTCTGTCTCTCTCTCTCTCTCTCAATTCAATTTTTCAATTTCAATTCAATTTAAGGGCTTTATTGGCATGGGACACGTATGTTAACATTGCCAAAGCAAGTGAAGTAGATAGTAAACAAAAGTGAAATAAACAATAAATATTAACAGTAAAAATTACACTCAGAAGTTCACAAAATAATAAAGACATTTCAAATGTCATATTATGTATATATACAGTGTTGTAACAATGTGCAAATAGTTCAAGTACAAATGGGAAAATAAATAAACATAAATATGGGTTATATTTACAATGGTGTTTGTTCTTCACTGGTTGCCCTTTTCTTGTGGCAACAGGTCACAAATCTTGCAGCTGTGATGGCACACCGTGGTTTTTCACCCAGTAGATAAGGGAGTTTATCAAAATAGGGTTTGTTTTCTAATTCTTTGTGGATCGCTGTAATCTGAGGGAAATATGTGTCTCTAATATGTTCATACATTTGGCAGGAGGTTAGGAAGTGCAGCTCAGTTTCCATCTCATTTTGTGGGCAGTGTGCACATAGCCTGTCTTCTCTTGAGAGCCAGGTCTGCCTACGGCGGCCTTTCTCAATAGCAAGGTTATGCTCACTGAGTCTGTACATAGTCAAAGCTTTCCTTAAGTTTGGATCAGTCACAGTGGTCAGGTAGAATTTAACGGCTCTTTTCTAGATTTTGATAATTAGCGGGTATTGGCCTAATTCTGCTCTTGTCTCTCTTATCTTGTCTCTGTCTCTGTGTTTGTTTTTTGTATCTCTCTGTATTGTCTCTGTCTCGTGTTGGTACTATCTCTATGTCTTCTCTTTATGTATCTTATGATCTCTCTATATCTTCTTCGGTACTTCTCTCTCTCCCTCTCATCTCTCCTCTTCTCTCTCTCTCTCTCTCTGTCTCTCCCTTCCCTCCTCTCTTCTCTGTCTCTCTGTCTCTCTGTCTCTCTGTCTCTCTCTCTCCCTCTCTCCCTCCTCTTCTCTCTCTCTCTCTCTCTCTCTCTCTCTCTGTCTCTCTGTCTCTCTGTCTCTCTGTCTCCCTCTCTCCCTCTCTCCCTCTCTCTCCCTCCCCCTCCTCTCTGTCTCCCTCTCTGTCTCTCTGTCTCTCTCTCTATTCTCTGTCTCTGTCTCTCTCTCTGTCTCTCTCTCTCTGTCTCTCTGTCTCTCTCTCTCCGGCTCTCTCTCTCTCTCTCTCTCTTTCTCTGTCCCTGAGAAAAGGAAGATCAATCACTTTTTTACCAAAAAACGAGCATATGGAACACTTCCAGTGAACGATTATTACAGTATAGCTACAGTAAGCCTGGTACCAGACCAACCCTTTGTTATGCTACAGTAAGCCTGGTACCAGACCAACCCTTTGTTATGCTACAGTAAGCCTGGTACCAGACCAACCCTTTGTTATGCTACAGTAAGCCTGGTACCATACCAACCCTTTGTTATGCTACAGTAAGCCTGGTACCAGACCAACCCTGTGTTATGCTACAGTAAGCCTGGTACCAGACCAACCCTTTGTTATGCTACAGTAAGCCTGGTACCAGACCAACCCTTTGTTATGCTACAGTAAGCCTGGTACCAGACCAACCCTTTGTTATGCAACAGTAAGCCTGGTACCATACCAACCCTTTGTTATGCTACAGTAAGCCTGGTACCATACCAACCCTTTGTTATGCTACAATAAGCCTGGTGCCATACCAACCCTTTGTTATGCTACAGTAAGCCTGGTTCCAGATTTGTTTGTGCTATCTTACCAACTCCTTGTCACTCATTGTCACACCAAACAATGGTTGCCATGACAACAGCATTAGGAGTTGGAAAGAGAGCACTGGGGCCCAGCTAAAGCTACAGGATCAGATGAGAACCATTTAGATGGACAGGATTTGACGGCCTCAAAGCATCAGGAATCTATTTGTGTTTCTCAAAATACCTAATCCTGTTACGTCAATGGATACAAACCCACAGAGGTCTAGGTAGGGTTGACTACTGATGCTTGGTGGATAGTCTCTGTGAGGTAAATCTGTCTAATGAAAGACAAATCAAACAAGCATCTCTCTAAACTATGACTAAATAAGTATTGACTCATTGGGATGAATTTATAAAGCTGCATTGTTTCTGCTTTGCCTTCATTCCAATTTGACTAAATTATGCCTGTTTCAAAGTCACATGCCAGTAATGGTCACATGGCATACATCTATGAAGAGAAGTGTATTTTGTGAAGGACACTTTTTGTGTGAAGAAACAGGATACTCGTCCACTGCTGAGATATGGCCCTATCATTGTACTGATCAACCATTTCCAGTCAGACATCATCACATAAGGATGTCAGAATTGGGGCTACCGTGTTTGTTTACCTTTCCACAGACATACAGTACCAGTCAAAAGTTGGACACACCTACTCATTCAAGGGTTTTTCTTTATTTTTACTATTTTCTACATTGTAGAATAATAGTGAAGACATCAAAACTATGAAATAACACATATGGAATCATGTAGTAACCAAAAAAGTGTTAAACAAATCAAAATACATTTTACATTTGAGATTCTTTATAGTAGCCACCCTTTTCCTTGATGACAGCTTTGCACAATCTTGGCATTCTCTCTACCAGCTTCATGAGGTAGTCACCTGGAATGGATTTCAATTAACAGGCGTGCCTTGTTAAAAGTTAATTTGTGGAATTTCTTTCCTTCTTAAGGTAGGGGTGGTATACAGAAGATAGCCCTATTTGGTAAAAGACCAAGTCCATATTATGGCAAGTACAGCTCATATAAGAAAAGAGAATAGTCCATCATTACTTTAAGACATGAAGGTCAGTCAAGCCGGAACATTTCAAGAACTTTTAAAGTTTCTTCAAGTGCAGTCGTAAAAACCATCAAGCGCTATGATGAAATTGGCTCTCATGAGGACCGCCACAGTGGTCCTCTGTAGCTCAGCTGGTAGAGCACGGCGCTTGTAACGCCAGAGTAGTGGGTTCGATCCCCGGGACCACCCATACACAAAAATTTATGCACGCATGACTGTAAGTTGCTTTGGATAAAAGCGTCTGCTAAATGGCATATTATTATTATTATTAGGAAAGGAAGACCCAGAGTTACCTCTGCTGCAGAGGATAAGTTCATTAGAGCTACCCAAATAAATGCTTCACAGAGTTCAAGTAACAGACACATCTCAACATCAACTGTTCAGAGGAGACTGCGTGAATCAGGCTTTCATGGTCTAGTTGCTGCAAAGAAACCATTACTAAAGGACACCAATAAGAAGAAGAGACTTGCTTGGGCCAAGAAAACACGAGCAATGGACATTAGACCGGTGGAAATCTTTCCTTTGGTCTGATGAGTCCAAATTTGAGATTTTTGGTTCCAACCCCTGTGTCTTTGTGAGATGCAGAGTAGGTGAACGGATGATCTCTGCATGTGTGGTTCCCACCGTGAAGCATGGAGGAGGAGGTGTGATGGTGTGGGGGTGCTTTTCTGGTGACACTGTCAGTGATTTATTTAGAATTCAAGGCACACTTAACCAGCATGGCTACAACAGCATTCTGCAGTGATACACCATCCCATCTGGTTTGCGCTTAGTGGGACTTTTGTTTAGTTTTTCAACAAGACAATGACCCAACACACCTCCAGGCTGTGTAAGGGCTATTTGACCATAAACCCTAGACCCACTCTAATTTGCCTACCGCCCAAACAGATCCACAGATGATGCAATCTCTATTGCACTCCACACTGCCCTTTCCCACCTGGACAAGAGGAACACCTACGTGAGAATGCTATTCATTGACTACAGCTCAGCGTTCAACACCATAGTGCCCTCAAAGCTCATCACTAAGCTAAGGACTCGGGGACTGAACACCTCCCTCTGCAACTGGTCCTGGACTTCCTGACGGGCCGCCCCCTGGTGGTAAGGGTAGGTAACAACACATCTGCCACGCTGATCCTCAACACGGGGGCCTCGCAGGGGTGCGTGCTCAGTCCCCTCCTGTACTCCCTGTTCACCCATGACTGCATGGCCAGGCATGACTCCAACACCATCATTAAGTTTGCCGACGACACAACAGTGGTAGGCCTGATCACCGACAACGATGAGACAGCCTATAGGGAGGAGGTCAGAGACCTGGCCGTGTGGTGCCAGGATAACAACCTCTCCCTCAACGTGATCAAGACAAAGGAGATGATTGTGGACTACAGGAAAAAAATGAGGACTGAGCACGCCCCCATTCTCATCGACGGAGCTGTAGAGGAACAGGTTGAGAGCTTAAAGTTCCTTGGTGTCCACATCACCAACAAACTATCATGGTCCAAACACACCAAGACAGTCGTGAAGAGGGCATGACAAAACCTATTCCCCCTCAGGAGACTGAAAAGATTTGGCATGGGTCCTCAGATCCTCAAAAAGTTATACAGCTGCACCATCAAGAGCATCCTGACTGGTTGCATCACTGCCTGGTTTGGCAACTGCTCGGCCTCCGACCGCAAGGCACTACAGAGGATAGTGCGTATAGCCCAGTACATCACTGGGGCCAAGCTTCCTGCCATCCAGGACCTCTATACCAGGCGGTGTCAGAGGAAGGCCCTAAAAAGTGTCAGACTCCAGCCACCCTAGTCATAGACTGTTCTCTCTGCTACCGCACGGCAAGCGGTACCGGAGCGCCAAGTCTAGGTCCAAAAGGCTTCTTAACAGCTTCTACCCCCAAGCCATAAGACTCCTGAACAGCTAATCATGGCTACCCAGACTATTTGCATTGTCCCCCCACCCCCTCTTTTACGCTTCTGCTACTCTGTTTATTATCTATGCATAGTCACTCTACCCACATGTACATATTACCTCAATTACCTCTACTAACCGGTGCCCCCGCACATTGACTATGTACCGGTACCCCCTGTATATAGCCTCCCTACTGTTATTTTATTTTACTGCTGCTCTTTAATTATATTTTTTACTTAAAACTGCATTGTTGGTTAAGGGGTTGTAAGTAAGCATTTCACTGTAAGGTCTACTCCTGTTGTATTCGGCTCATGTGGCAAATACAATTTGTTTTGATTTGAGTGCTGCATCAGATGACCTGGCCTCCACAATCACTCGATCTCAACCCAATTGAGATGGTTTGGGATGAGTTGGACTGCAGAGTGAAGGAAAAGCAGCCAACAAGTGCTCAGCATATGTGGGAACTACTTCAAGACTGTTGGAAAAGCATTCCAGGTGAAGCTGGTTGAGAGAATGCCAAGAGTGTGCAAATTTGTCATCAAGGAAAAGGGTGGCTACTTTGAAGAATCTCAAATATAAAAAATATTTTGATTTGTTTAACACTTTTTTGGTTACTACATGATTCCATATGTGTTCTTTCATAGTTTTGATGTCTTCCCTATTATTCTACAATGTAGAAAATAGTAAAAATAAAGAAAAACCCTTGAATGAGTAGGTGTGTCCAAACTTTTGACTGGTACTGTATGTAGGCTTAATAGCTACTATAAATAATAATACAGTGGAATAAGATGGGAATAATACAGGAATATCACACACACACACACACACACACACACACACACACACACAGTGGGGATTGTTGACGAAAGAGGGTTACAGGGTATGAGTTTGGTTGCCCAGGCAATGGCCTCCACAGAGCAGACCTGAGCAGAGCAGGGTGGTAGCATAGAGATCCTATTAAATGATACTTATGGGTGGTAGTCTGAGGGGTAGGAAGGCTCACTGGCTCAGCCTCAGGGATAGATACTCAAAGTGTATCTGCTAATTGTTAGGCTTCCCTTGGCTTTCTCCTGCTATGATATCATACAGAGATCATACAAATCAATGCCTGTAATGATAACAGATATTGTTTGGGCAACATCAAGAGAGAAAGCTACTGTAGTCTTCCTATAATGTAGTCCCAAATATGACATCATATTATCCATGACAACAGCATGATGTGCACAAAATGCTACAAGAAAATGTTGACATATTTATGAATACGCCTACAATAGAATAGAAGATTCGAAACAGTTGCTTATCTATTATGGATGAGCTGCTGGTGGTCAACTGACAGTTGACTGTCACACCGTAGTACCTACCCTAGGCTATGGAAGTGCGTGTGCGTTTATGCGTTGCTCCCCATAGTAAACCTTGTTATAAGTGCTCAGGACGTCTATGACGTTGAACAATATTTTCAATATTTGTTTTTGTTGCAATTGATCAAAGTGTCATGAGGTTACATTATCATCCAAGAGATGTTCAATCTTATTACTGTCAAATTGCATAGGAATTCAACTTAGAAGAAAACATATTTTGATACTGTACTTGATAACGATAATGACAACAATGTACCTTTTTATTGTACGTCTGCAGTGCCATCAATGCGGCATCTTGATCGCCCGTTTCCATGTTTTCTATTATGGCATTTAAATCCATGTTTATTATTGTTGTGTTCCCGGTCCACCCGAATGTTTAGCGCCTCGCCGATGTGAAGCACACCGACAGTCATGTACTAGGCTCTACGGTACTGATAGCGATATGCACATATGACTCTGTGATAGTCACTCCTCGGCTCTGATCCTGGAACTCCAAAACCAGAGATGATGAGATTAGCGGAGGATTGCAAGTTTACCGCACAGCACCCTGGGATTTGTAGTTCCGTTTCGGTAAACGACATATTACGGAGATATTATTTCCACAGAAGATTATCTGGATTTTCCGAAAGTCATACAGAAATATGTATTTACAGCCAAACAGTGGACCAACACACCAGGCCAGGCAGGAATAGATCGAATTATTTATTAAATAATCAATAATGGTTTCTTGCTGTGGATTATTGTATTTCAGGTAGAACCTTTGAGTTATCAAATCATCACTTGCAATTTATAGCAGGCCATTGTCCCTTTTCCCATGAGGCAGAGGCTGGAGCATTAGGACTGAAGTCTGTGAGCCACAGAGAAAACCACAGCACGTCAAACACTATGTGGTAGACCTAAATCCAGCATTAGGACTATGGAACAGTGTTAGGCTAATGCAAACTGATGGTCAGCACAACAGCAAGCAGCAAGGAGGACATGGCATTTCGCAACTCTCAATTTTGAGCTGGAGGTGTGAAATGCTTGCATTAATTGCACTTCGAGTGAGTTTCACTGGTTCGTCACTGGGCAATGTACTGTTCATGTCGAAAGAAGTGTGTCCCACTGTCGGTAGTTTATTTCCCAACAGAAAAACCAATGGATATATTTCGATCGAAAACTGGCCAGATGAACCAACTCTGAGGTAGGCGCTTGCTACAGTTTCTCGTGTCCCGACCATTTTATCTGCTGCTTATTGTAGACTTCAGCGAATGATGAACAAATAATTGTACTAATTTGTTTGGACGTATAGAACTATCAGAACAACAAAAGGCCTAGTAAGCCTACATTTAAGTGAGAGAGCGTCTGCTAAATGACTAAAATGTAAATGTAAATGTGTGTATTAATGAAGATGAAGTTTATAACAGGTAAAAAAAAAAAGGAAAGGAACGCTTACATTTTGCTCCATCCTTAAACCTTCATAGCAGGTACATTTTGATATGATGATGGAGAGTTTCCCCCTGCTACCTGGGGGTGTACATTCTGGATCAGACAATTACAGGGCTCCAAAAGAAACGCCTTTCTATTGGGGGACACAGGGACATGGTAAATTCTTCAAAATCTCTCTCTCTCTCTCTCTCTCTCTCTCTCACCCACATGCACAGAGTAAGATCATTCAATTGAACCCATGTTCTCTACATGCTTCCCTTTCATACAGAAGAGGAGCTGTACATTCAACAGGCTGTGGTCCTCATCGAAGATGCTGTACATGTAGGAGTAACTTGTTATTTTCCACCATCAACTGCATTTAAAATACAGTTTATGTGCATTACTTTGTTTATCAACACTTTTATAGTACATTTGTTTACATTCCTTTGTAGTATCGATCTATCAACCACCGCATGGACCCAAGATCAATACAACTTTACAGATGGTACTACTCCAGGCTCTGTCAATGGTAAAGGAGTTTTTTGTCATGCATAGTAGCTCTGTTTCTCTCTTGATTACTGCTCCTACCATACCTACTTTACTTTTTATCTATTGACAGTAAAAATAGTTAATGCTTTCTTTAGTAAGTAAGTAAGTAATTATGAAATGGATAGATCCGGACACGCAATCTGCTTGGTGAAAAGTGTGTTCCAGCCATGTTACTTTCTACTGTAGGCTATCTACAGCCCTACAGGACAGTACAAGACTTGTCTACTAGTCTACCTTCATATTAGTTATGACCCATAACTGTTTTCTTCTGTGTCCTCAGGGGCCTGAATGTGGTGATATTTGTCATCCTGGTCCTGGCCTTCATTGAGAGGCCCTCCTCCCTGTCTGTGACCTCTGACCTGCGTTCTAAACACACCCTCTGGGAACCCCCATGTGGCCTCACCGAGGGCATCGAGATCATCTGCCTACTCATATTCACGTTCGACCTCATCGTTAAGGTAATATACACTCAAAATCTACTTCTGATGTAGTGAACCACCAAATAAAACTATAACTATACTCTATAATACTATAATACTACTAAACTAATACTATTAATATAGCATATTATTTCGATGTAAATATCATCAGATAGCTATTGATCATGTGTAATATCATGGTCATGCAGCTTTTAAGTACATCTCTCAATCAATTTCATACACTCTTAGAAAAAAAACTAAAAGGGTTCTTCGGCTGTCCCCATAACCCTTTTTGGTTCCAGGAAGAACCATTTTTGTTCCAGGTAGAACTTTTTAGATTCCATGTAGAACCCTTTCCACAGAGGGTTCTACATGAAATCCAAAATGGTTCTACATGGAACCAAAAAGGGTTCTACCTGGAACCAAAAAGGGTTCTGCTGTAGGACAGCCTAAGATCCCTTTTGGAACCCTTTTTTTCTAAGAGTGTAGATTACGTTTTAGTCATTTAGCAGACGCTCTTATCCAGAGCGACTTACAGTTTTAGTGAGTGCATACATTTTTCATACAGGCCCCCCGTTGGAATCAAATCCACAACCCTGGCGTTGCAAGTGCCATGCTCTACCAACTGCGCTACAGGAGGCTACTAGGCACATCATAGGCTACATGACATTTTCATATACTGCTGTGAGGATAGAAGCCAATATATATATTTTTTTGGGGGTGGTGGGGGGGGGTAGTAGACAGCGTAATATTGCAGATAGATTGGTAAATTCCATCAAGGTAATTGGTCTGGCATCACTTCCAATCCACTCCAGTAGTAGACACAACGACATAGAGATGATGAGAGAGAGAGAGAGAGAGAGAGGAGAGAGAGACGAGAGATAGAGAGAGAGATAGAGGACACACACCACACGACACACCCACAGACACACCCACAGACAGACAGACATACAGACAGACAGACAGACAGAAGGCGACAGACAGGCAGAACAGACTAGAAAGACAGACAGACAGGACGACGACAGCAGACAGACAGACAACAGACAGACAGCACAGACAGACATCCAGACGACATACATTACAACATACATAAAACATACATATCCTTTAAAAAAATATATATATATACACACACACACATACACACCCACATACAAACCCACATGACAACATAAACAGACATACATACATGCAACATAAATGCATACCATACAACATACATACATACATACATACATACATACCATACATACATACATACATAATACATATATACAATACATAAAGACATAACATACTACATACATCATACATACCATACATACATACCATACATACATACATACATACATACATACATACAACATACATATCCTTTTAAAAAAATATATATATATATTCCCCTTTATTACCTATTTGTTGGAAGTGATTCCTCCTTACTCTTTTTTTGCAGAGTTACCTGATAGGTCATGAGGAGTTTTTGAAGTGTAAATGGCTGGTGGCCTACATGGTGGTCATCTCAGTGTCTGTCATTGACTGGACCTTATCCTTGAGCATGGCTTGTGATGACGTAAGCAAAGTCAGATGCATACCCCTTTTTAATCTTTCCTCTGGAACCTTGAAATGCTTGATCATGTAATCATATTCTATTCTATTCTACAGTATATCGAGTGTATATCTAGTAAGCTTGTTTCATGAAGTAGAAATGTCATCTGACATGTTTTGCATCATTTGTATCGTAGACTATGAGAATCAGAAAACTTATTCGGCCGTTCTACCTCCTTCAAAACTCGTCATTGATGAAGAAGACGTTGAAATGCATCAAAAGAACAATACCAGAAATAACAAGGTAATGGTATTGAATTGAGTAAAATGATTAGTGAGTACAGAAATGCATAAGGTCCTTCATTTCAGCTGAATATAGGGATTTCTTCTTCTCTCCAGTGTGATCTTACTAGTGGTTCTCCACCTGTGTGTCTTCACCATGTTTGGAATGCTGCTGTTTGAAAGGGGAGAGGTACAGTAACATCCCCTGTATCTGTTTATTGATTGGATAGTGTGAACACTGCCATAATGGTTGTGGTTTTTTTTTAAGCGTGTAGGCCCTTGGGCCTTTTTTGTAATTATCTGCTAATTTTAGTTGAAGGCCTGTGACCTTCAGAGGATTTTCAGAAGATTTATTTGATGAGAATATTTATTTTAATTTTATTTCATCTTTATTTAACCAGAAGGTGCTATTGAGGTCAGAAGACCTCTTTCTCAAGGGAGACCTTGCCAAGAAGGGCAGATCAGTGAAAACACATAGAACGTTCTAAACATTGTGCATAGGCTACATAGCAAGTAGTGATTGTTCTAATGGGATACCTGCTCTGATTTGTCTTGTTCTAGAACCCAGAGAAGAACATGGAATGGGAGTTTTATTTCAAAAACTTTTCTCAGTCTCTTACATCTCTTTTGGTTCTTCTCACAACCGCTAACAACCCTGACGGTAGGCTTATTCAATACGAGTTCTTCATATGTTAGTGTACATTTTCAATGATCACTGCTGTAAGTCAAAGTCGATGAGCTTTTTCATTTTTAAAAGTAGCATTTGTTTCTGCTCTAAAGTGATGACGCCAGCTTACACTTTAAACAGAGGTTTCTCCGTCTTCTTCATCCTCTTCAGTGGATTTGGTGAGAGTTTGTTTGACGTGTTTCTTTACATTTGCGTTGATTACAATATAATTTAGATATCATATTTCATAAACTGTATGAATTGATTCAATCTGTATGTTCAATAAAAGCTTACTTTACATGTCATCACTCTAATGTAGGAACGTACTTCCTGATGAACCTGCTGACTGCCATCATCTACAACCAGTTTAGAGGATACTTAGTGGTGAGTAACTGGCTTGTTGTCGATGGTACTTAACAAAGTTCAAAAATATTTAGGTAAGTGGGTAGTCCATTTCCCACAGGTATGTGAGTAGTGTTGATTATGATAACCCTTTATTGTGCAGATGTCAATCCAGACATCCATCCTGAGGAGGCATTTGGGCATCAGGGCAGCTTTTGAGCTGTTACACTGTCAGAGCCAGGAACCTACCTTTTCTGAGGATGATACCGTGTAAGAAAGGACCCCTTTGCGGTGTTTATTGTATTAATATACAGTACAACAGCAAAATGGTATAGCACTTATTGTATGTATAAAATCATATCTACTGTGTTCCAGTGAGTGTGTTATGGTCCAGACAGTCCTGAAGGTGATGAGGAGAGTTCAGATGAAAGGTTATTACAGAGATGCCATCATGAAGGTGAGATTGTTCCCGCCTTACCTGAAACGACATACTGTAACACATAGCGTTAAAAACGTCATGTTTCATGAAGTTATATATGTAGATGGCCACACCACTGAATTGTGAACACTTTTGGTATGTCAAAAGATTCTAAAAGTGTAATGTCCTCAGAAAGCGTCTCAGTCATCCAGTGGATACATCCCCAGGGAGGCCTTCCAGATACTTTTTGATGAGCTGGACAAGGACAGGATGAAATACGTATTTATATTTTATCTCTACGACAATGCTAATTTCTTCAAAACGATGCAGTTAGCAGACTGTCAGTCGAATGCCAAGCAGACTTTCATCATTTGCCTTTGTGCTTGCATTTGCAACGGAAGCAAAAATCCGGACAGAAGCAAACTTGAAAAGTTATTGTTAAAGGAGATTGAACAGCAAATTAAAGTCATTGTTTTCCTCTGTAGCATCCTCCATTGCCTGAGTACTCGTCTAAGTTCCTGCGGAAGGTTCAGTTTGTCTTCAGTCAGCATTATGTCACTGTGGTGGGGAATGCTGTGGCCCTGGCCAATGTTGTCTGCATATGTGTGAGTTCACTATGTCACAAGTTCACAATGTCCCAATATTTTATTAATTCACTTATTTGTTTGTGTTTCTGCTTGATCCTAACAGCTCTTAGTTACAACACTAGCCTGGAATCCTAACTGACATGCTTTGTTTCACCATAACAATATTGATTCCAGGCTACTTATTCACAGTAATGTTGTTGGTAGAGATACTTTAGTGAATGTACTCTACTATGCTTCGTACACCATTTCACACTGTAAGTCATTTTACTTCTTAAAAGGAGGGCTCGTCCGGGATTTGAACCCGGGACCTCTCGCACCCTAAGCGAGAATCATACCCCTAGACCAACGAGCCTGTCAAAGGGACAACAACCAAGAGTTTAAATTCCACTGCATGCCACGTGTATGAGGAATTCCTCGCAGTTAATGCTGTTGCGTGCTCAGTAAAACTGCTCAGAGACTGCCACCTAGTGGCTGTTCTAGACACTGCACAAACACAGACATGTTTATCACATGGAGATAGATGGAGGACTCATCATGGATATAACTAATTTTAGAATGGACATTACAATTGAGGGCTTCCACTATTTAAAAGTAGTCAACTGGGTGGGGATTCCTATGAGTTAGGAGCAATCAGCCAATGAAGAAGAAGACAATTGACTACTTTAAAATGGAGATAGCTTCAATGGCGCTGCCCATGCTGTCACAGACGCTATAATGGCACAGATACAATGATAAATCCTCTATCAATCACTATTGTTGATCATCATTAGAGTAGATTGAAAAGGCAGTAGACATAGGCCCTGATCCATTTTTTGCACCTTCTCTGCATTTGATGTCTCTGGTCTACAAATGAGTGTTTCTTCAGAATTTACGGGGGTGCATTGTATCCCATTTTATTTTTAGAAAATGTGTAAGGTCAAAGGTCATGCACTGTATATGCATGTATTAAGTCTACTGTATATGCATCTAATTGTCATCAATGTTCCTCCAGATGATCCTGGTGATTGACTGTGAGAAGACTCTCTCTGAACGAGACAACTACTATTTAGAGGTAATTGCTCAACATTTAAGGCCATAGTAGTTACAAGTAGACATTAGTTACTGCACCTGCAGTGCACTGCCGACATGACTGACTCATGTATAGCAGGTAAGGGTCCTGCACAGTTTATGTCAATAGCTCCATGCAATTGACAGACTTTATATGTATCTCTGTCACAGGAGGTTGGTGGCACCTTAATTGGGGAGGACGTGCTTGTGGTAATGGCTGGAACGGAATCAGTGGAATGGTATCAAGTACATCAAACAAATGGTTTGATGCCATTCCATTCGCTCCGTTCCAGCCATTATTATGAGCCGTTCTCCCCTCAGCAGCCTCCACTAATCTCTGTTTTTTCAGACTATCAACTGTTTCTTCATCCTTTACTACCTGCTGGAGATGGTGCTGAAGATGGTTGCATTTGGCTGGACAGGATATGTGTCCTATGGGAGTAACATCTTTGATGGATCTCTCACAGTTCTTTTACTGGTAGGTGCAGTTCAGTACGATATACTATATGGAAGGAGAATGCAGGCTCCATTTTGAAGCATTCTAGTTGATGTATGTATATTGGCGTCTGTCACACAATTCAAAGTCACTTGTTGACATTACGACACCATACATTATATTCCATACTTACTGGATATTGTTTTTATATCTCTGTTTTACCAAAGGGCCTACAGATATCCATATTTGCTACTTACAGTCTACCATTTTCCTATTGGTAAGATTTTTCTCCCCACTTTGTTTGTGATTTTTCAATATACTAACTCACTTAGGACAACCCTAACCCTAAATATAGGCAACTTATTTTCTCAAAAGGACGGCTCATCTGGAATTTGAACCCAGGACCTCTAGCATCCTTTGCAAGAATTATACCCCTGGACCAACAAGCCTGCCTGGGGAAACCCTCCTCATAGTTCAAGTTTCCTTCTCTTCCACATGCTTTAGGCAAAATAATTTACCCTCTAAATACACCTCCGCTGTCGTCAACCAGGATCTCAGCGATCACTGCCTCATTGCCTGCGTCCGTAATGGGTCCGCGGTCAAACGTCCACCCCTCATCACTGTCAAACGCTCCCTAAAACACTTCAGCGAGCAGGCCTTTCTAATTGACCTGGCCCGGGTATCCTGGATGGATATTGACCTCATTCCGTCAGTAGAGGATGCCTGGATGTTCTTCAAAAGTGCTTTCCTCTCCATCTTAAATAAGCATGCCCCATTCAAAAAATTCCGAACTAAGAACAGATATAGCCCCTGGTTCACCCCAGACTTGACTGCCCTTGACCAGCACAAAAACATCCTGTGGCGTACTGCATTAGCATCAAACAGCCCCCGCGATATGCAACTTTTCAGGGAAGTCAGGAACCAATATACACAATCAGTTAGGAAAGCAAAGGCTAGCTTTTTCAAACAGAAATGTGCATCCTGTAGCACTAACTCCAAAAAGTTTTGGGACACTGTAAAGTCCATGGAGAATAAGAGCACCTCCTCCCAGCTACCCACTGTCACCACCGATAAATCTACAATAATCGAGAATTTCAATAAGCATTTGGTAGAGCATGGCGCTTGTAATGCCAGGGTAGTGGGTTCGATCCCTGGGACCACCCATACGTAGAAATGTATGCACATATGACTGTAAGTCGCTTTGGATAAAAGCATCTGCTAAATGGCAAATTATTATTATGGCTGGCCATGCTTTCCACCTGGCTACCCCTACATTTTAGTCATTTAGCAGACACTCTTATCCAGAGCAACTTACAGTTAGTGAGTGCATACATCATTTTTTATACTGGCCCCCCGTGGGAAACAAACCCACAACCCTGGCGTTGCAAACGCCATGCTCTACCAACTGAGCTACATCCCTGCCGGCCATTCCCTCCCCTACCCTGGGCCAATTGTGCGCCGCCCCATGGGTCTCCTGGTCGTGGCCAGCTACGACAGAGCCTGGATTCGAACCAGGATCTCTAGTGGCACAGCTAGCACTGCGATGCAGTGCCTTAGACCACTGTGCCACTCACCTACCCCTGCCACCAGCTCTGCACCCTCCGCTGCAACCTGCCCATGTCCCACCAACTACTTCTCAGATAGAGTTCAATGTGTCAAATTGGAGGGCCTGTTGTCTGGACCTCTGGCAGTCTCTATGGGGGTGCCACAGGGTTCAATTCTTGGGCCGACTCTATTCTCTGTGTATATCAATGATGTCGCTCTTGCTGCTGGTGACTCTCAGATCCACCTCTATGCAGACGACACCATTTTGTATACATCTGGCCCTTCATTGGACACTGTGTTAACAAACCTCCAAACGAGCTTCAATGCCATACAACACTCCTTCCGTGGCCTCCAACTGCTCTTAAACGCTAGTAAAACTAAATGCATGCTCTTCAATCGAACGCTGCTTGCACCCACCCGCCCGCCCGACTAGAATCACTATTCTCGACGGTTCTGACAACTACAAATACCTAGGTGTCTGGTTAGACCGTAAACTCTCCTTCCAGACTCACACTAAGCATCTCCAATCCAAAGTTAAATCTAGAATCGGCTTCCTATTTCGCAACAAAGCCTCCTTCACTCATGCTGCTAAACATGCCCTCGTAAAACTGACTATCCTACCGATCCTTGACTTCAGTGATGTCATTTACAAAATAGCTTCCAACACTCTACTCAGCAAATTGGATGTAGTCTATCACAGTGCCATCCGTTTTGTCACCAAAGCCCCATATACTACCCACCATTGTGACCTGTACGCTCTTGTTGGCTGGCCCTCACTACATATTCATCGCCAAACCCACTTGCTCCAGGTCATCTATAAATCACTTTTAGGCAAATCCCCGCCTTACTTAGATCATTGGTCACCATAGCAACACCCACCCGTAGTATGCGTTCCAGCAGGTATATCTCACTGGTCATCCCCAAAGCCAACACCTCCTTTGGCCGCCATTCCTTCCAGTTTTCTGCTGCAAATGACTGGAACGAACTGCAAAAATCTCTGAAGCTGGAGACACTTATCTCCCTCACTAAATTTAAGCATCAGTTGTCAGAGCAGCTTACCGATCACTGCACCTGTACACAGCCCATCTGTAATTAGTCCCACCCAACTACCTCATCCCCATATTGTTATTTACATTGTTATTTATTTTGCTCATTTGCACCCCAGTATCTCTATTTGCACGTCATCTTCTGCACATCTATCACTCCAATGTTAATACTAAATTGTAATTATTTTGCACTATGGCCTATTTATTGCCTTACCTCCATAACTTACTACATTTGCACACACTGTATATAGATTTTCTATTGTGTTATTGACTGTACATTTTGTTTTTGTTTATTCCATATGTAACTCTGTGTTGTTGTTGTTTTTTAATCGCACTGCTTTGCTTTATCTTGGCCAGGTCGCAGTTGTAAATGAGAACTTGTTCTCAACTGGCTTACCTGGTTAAATAAAGGTGAAATAAAATAAAAATAACTCTGTCACATATTTTCTAAAAAGGAAGGCTCATCTGGGATTTGAACCCAGGACCACTCACACCCTAAGCAAGAAGCATACCCCTAGACCAACAAGCCTGCTTAGGGAAGACCACCCTATAGTTACAATTTTCTCCTCTCCTTCACCTCATAACCCTGTGCGTTAACTTCCAGAATCTGTGATGTGGCAGGTTTTTGCTGAGCAAAATCTTGCTATTAGACTGCCCTCTAGTGGTAACTAACATTTGTTTGGAAGTTTTACATACACTGAGTGTTTTAACATTAGGAACACCTGCTCTTTCCATGACATAGACTGACCAGGTGAATCCAGCTGAAATATATCATCCCATATTGATGTAACTTGTTAAATCCACTTCAATCAGTGTAGATGAAGGGAAGGAGACAGGTTAAATAATTATTTGTAAGCCTTGAGACAATTGAGACATGGATTGTGTATGTGTACCATTCAATGGGTGAATGGGCAAGACAAGATATTTAAGTGCCTTTGAACGGGATATGGTAGTAGGTGCCAGGCGCACCAGTTTGAGTGTGTCAAGAACTGCAACGCTGCTGTTTGTTTCACGCTCAACGGTTTCCCTTCTGTATCAAGAATGGTCCACCACCCAAAGGACATCCAACCAACTTGACACAACTGTGGGAGGCATTGGAGTCAACATGGGCCAGCATCCCTGTGGAACGCTTTCGGCACCCTGTAGAGACCATGCCCCGATGAGTTGAGGCTGTTCTGAGGGCAAAAGGGGGTGCAACTCAATATTAGGAAGGTGTTCCTAATGTTTTGTACACTCAGTGTACATTGTCAGATTTGCAAATAAAACCATTGTCTGTGGTTGAGGTCTTTCTTAAGTGCTGTAGGTTATCGTTTGTATTATGACTGAGAACTACTATCCAGGACTATAGTGTTACAGCTGCAAATAAAACCATATGGAAGTTTCTCAGTGGCTGACAGATAAGAGTATTTATGAATTAGGCTTGCCAGTTATATGACTCGTGGTTCGGCTAGTCCTCATAATACAAAAATAGCCTACATTGGTAGCCTGTGAGCCTGCTCTTTGTTATAGAAACCTATACATGACAGATTGTCACTGTTTCTGCTGAACATGCACAGTCAACTCCGCTTACCCAAGTATCGCAAGTAGACTATCATTATCTTTAACAGTACAATTAGCCTACAGTGATCAGAAAAGAAGGGCTCGTCCGGGATTTGAACCCGGGACCTCTCGCACCCAAAGCGAGAATCATACCCCTAGACCAACGAGCCCTATTGAGGAGTAGGTAAACACAAGACTTCAAGTTCTGCTCCCTTTCTGCCCTGTCACTGATGTCAAGCATTTGTGAAATCTGAGGCGTGTCCTTTGTGAAACTGTTACTTTACTGACCTCTAGTGGTGATGATGTATACTGCAACATCAATACTGTAAAGTTCTGACCGGAAGGGAACACTACATTTGTCAGATATACGAGGCCATATATCATATCATATTTCGTATATATTGCTCTGATGTATAGCCCAATGATATATTGTCCAAGGCATATTCAACACATATTAGCTGAAATATACAGTAGACCTATAACCATAGCACAGCATATTCCGTAAACACTTTACTTGACCCCTTTGTCATAAGTCATAAGGGCTACACTACATAACACTGTCATAACCAGAACATAACAGTCATACCACAGCTCTCTTTGACTGAACTGTATCACAGGAACCCAGCCCATGGAGGTCTGACGTCACTCTGGGAGATGGTCCGTCTGGTCAACATGCTGAGTATATTCCGCTTCCTCAGGATCATCCCCAACATCAAGGTAACGTCTCTGAAAAATGACTCAGTCTTTGGAGTCCAGCCCTGGCACTTTGTAACAACTGCTGATTTCTGTCAAAAGAGCTATATTAATACATTTGATTGATTGATTTCATCAGTTCCCACTAATTATTTTGTCATATTCTAAAGCTCATGGCTCTGGTTGCCAGCACCATGGTTGACCTCGTGAAAAACCTCAGAGCCTTTGCCGGTATATTAGTGGTGAGAAACTCAAGTGGCTGTTGTTTTGTTTGGGTCGTTTTTTTGTGTGTAGTAGAGACAGGGCTGTTAAACTGGTACGATTGTAAAGAAGTGTCGTCTTCCTCTGTTTGCAGGTGGTTTATTATGTATTTGCTGTGCTTGGGGTCTGGTTGTTCAGAGGCGCTATCATAGCACCTGCAACTAACCTGAGGTATGAAGAAAATATGATATCTCAGAAATCACAGCTTTGAATCGAGACAATAAACTACCTATTTCCTATAAACTACCTATTTCCTACCTACATGTATTATCTATTTCTTACAGCACTACCGTCGACCCCAGAATCATGAAAATGACTGTAAACAAAACTCTACAATGTGGTTCTTATGAACAGCTTGGCTACTGGTCAAACAACTTTGACGACTTTGCAGTGAGTATCACCTAAACTAAGTTACATTTACATTTACGTCATTTAGCAGATGCTCTTATCCAGAGCGACTTACAAATTGGTGCATTCACCTTATGATAGCCAGTGGGACATTTTTAGAGTATATTTATACTTTTCATTTGTGTTATATATATATAAGTTCTGTATTTTTGTAATTATTTTTCATTACATTTGTATTACTTTTTCCCTTTTTATATTGTATATATATATTTTTTTCTCATCTAAATGAACAAACATATGGTGTACAAAACATTAGGAACACCTTCCTAATATTGAGTTGCACCCCCCTTTCCCCTCAGAACAACCTCAGTTTGTCGGGTGCCGAAAGCGTTCCACACAGATGCTGGCCCATGTTGACTCCAATGCGTCCCACAGTTGTGTCAAATCAAATTAAATCAAATGTATTTATAAAGTCATTTACATCAGCAGATGTCACATAGTGCTTACACAGAAACCTAGCCTAAAACCCCAGATAGCAAACAATGCAGTTGTAGAAGCACGGTGGCCAGGAAAAACTCCCTAGAAAGGCAGGAACCTAGGGAGAAACCTAGAGAGGAACCAGGCTCTGAGGGGAGGCCAGTCCTCTTCTGGCTGTGCCGGGTGGAGATTATAAGAGTACATGGCCATTAAGGCCAGATCGTTCTTCAAGATGTTCAAACGTTCATAGATGACCAGCAGGGTCAAATAATAATCACAGTGGTTGTAGAGGGTGCAACAGGTCAGCACCTCCGGAGTAAATGTCAGTTGGCTATTCATAGCCGAGCATTCAGAGGTCGAGACAGCAGGTGCTGTAGAGCGAGAGAGGGAGGAAGGGAGAGAGAGAGAGAGAGAGACTGAGGGTTGAAAACAGCAGGTCTGGGACAAGGGAGCACGTCCGGTGAACAGGTCAGGGTTCCATAGCCGCAGGCAGAACAGTTGAAACTGGAGCAGCAGCACGACAAGGTAGCACGTCTGGTGAACAGGTCAGGGTTCCATAGCCACAGGAAGTTGTCTGGATGTCCTTTGGGTGGTGGACCATTCTTAATACACAAGGGAAACTGTTGAGCATAAAAAAAACTCAGCAGCGTTGCAGTTCTTGACACACTCAAACCGGTTCTCCTGGCACGTACTACCATACCCTGTTCAAAGGCACTTAAATATTTTGTCTTGCCCATTCACCCTCTGAATCCTAATGTTCCTAATGTTTTGTACACTCAGTCTATATGGTACTTTAGTACATTTTGTCAACTTTAGTACATTTTGTCAACCTTTTGTCAATGCAAGGTTGTCAAATTGGTCAAGTTTGCTTTACTGGTATTCAGGGAAATTATAGTGTCTTTCTGCTTTCATGTGTCCTATATTTTCAGTCTGCTCTGGTTCTCCTATACAACATCATGATGATGAACAACTGGAATGTCTTTCTGGATGCATACGCCAGATACACCACTGAGCAAGTCAATTTGCTATAACAATTACTTTGCTTATTCTATTGTATTCTATTATATTATATCACGTGAGCATTTGAAGAAAGGGACGACTGACTGAGAGGTGATGATTGTATTTGGTTTTTATTCCGCAATCCAGGTGGTCCAAGCTCTACTTCATAGCCTGGTGGTTGACCTCCTCTGTCATGTGGGTCAACCTGTTTATAGCTCTGATCCTGGAGGTAGGGTCAGTATAATGTTTGTTTATGTGATTAGTTTACAATGTGAGAACACCTGCTTTTTTATTTAGAAGTCTTGATATTGCCATATAGATTTTTTGCTCTTGATTTTGTTGTTGTTGATGTTTTCAATCAAACTTTCACATTTCCTATCATCCCAATCCAGAACTTCATCTACAAGTGGGACAGAAACCATGGATGCTCAAACCGTGATATGGAGAGGACAGACTTGGAGACTACCATCCAGCTGATGTTCAGGTAGGACCAGTAACACCAATGTTTTTAGAACAGGCTTTGGCTTTGGCTTTTATTCTGGCTTTGTGTTTTTGGGTCTGCCCTGACCAGGCTTTAGCTTTACTTTTGGCTTGGCATTTTTGACGTTGTATGTGAGCTATGCTATTGGCTTTGCTCTGTATTTTGGTCCTGCCATTAGGGTTCATTAATTGAATTGATGATTGGCCGCAGCATGCGCTGGGCCTTTTGGCAGACCTGAGCTATCTCAGCAGCCACTGCACTTGATTAGATTATCTGTCAGCACACAGGAAGTGTACTCTTGGCATTATGTAATATGGAACTCTCTGTTCTGTTGCCAAGTTTGTCATTTCAGATACGAAAGGCACGGACCAATTTTATACAGGTAATATATACTAGGCCGGGTTACTGTAAAGCACTTTGTGACAACTGCTGTCTGCTGATGTAAAAAGGGCTTTATAAATACATTTGATTGATTGATTCATATACCATACCCTATAAGGTTTGCCTTTGTGTTTTGACTCCTGGTTTTTCAGACAACAGATAGCAGAGCCTACTGAAGAGGAAGTTGTCACAAAACTGCATGCCCACCAACACCTCCAGCACCTAACTATGTCCATGTCACTGGATAAAATATAGATATTGTGTGTAATGGAAGCGGGGTTCCCAGTTATTGCTTTATTCGTGGTTCTATAAATGAACTTTTTCATTGTTTCCTGATGGGATCAAGAGACTGTTTTACAACTCGACTGCTTCTTTCACTGAGTCTGATAGACAATATTGTCCGATATAACGTCACCTGTTGAGGGCTTTAAGTTATACATTCTGCATAAAGGGTATATAATAAACTCCTAAGACAACGATTTTCTTTGTGCAGTTCGAGGAGTTCAAAGGACAAGACAGGTATCATCTGAATGTTTTTCACCTGACAAGACGGAAGATGAAAATAGCTGATGACAAAATGTGTGGGGGTGGTTAGGTTAGCTGCTGCCGGGGCTTTGGAAACAGGCTTTGGAAACTGTATGACTTTATCGCTCTACTCTACTCTCTCTGTGTACATACATACCGACTTGTGTCTCAACTTTCAATTGTTTTTGGCTAGGTCTACCTTTCCTTTGTGCAGCTCTTTGTCTAGAAATACAGTGAACCTACACAGGCACTAAAACAGCTTGTTTCTCCCACTTACTTGACATTGTAAAAAAAAAGAAAAGTAAGGAATTTGCTAATCAACCACAAAGACGTTCTAAAATATCGTCTCCCCCAGAATTCTTGCTGCCATACGGTACTGTACTGGGAAGGGCAGGTTCTCTTTCTGGTGAGGTAGGTTCACTTTCACTATGACTCTACTTACTTACTAATAATAATATGCCATTTGGCAGACGCTTTTATCCGAAGCGACTTACAGTCATGTGTGCATACACTTTTACGTATGGGTGGTCCCGGGGATCGAACCCACTACCTTGGCGTTACAAGCGCCATGCTCTACCAATTGAGCTACAGAGGACCACTGTACTAGCTGGAGTGGAACTCTACACTTGTTCTCTGTTTTATGTATACAATGTATTCATACGTAGGTAGTTACAGTGTATTCGTTACTGGTAAGGTATGTTCACGCTCACTATCTACTTGCTGTAGCAGGTGAGGAACTCTACACTCCCTGTTCCAATAATGTATTCACAGATAGAAATCTAGTCTCTCGTGACAGACAGACTGTTACATGTAACGTCGGTTCGCAACAAGCTCCTGAGGTGAAGTTGGGCCCTTGTTCCCAAAACTAAATTGAGTAGTTGACCAGAGCACACACAGGATTTGGTTCTTGGTGCTGATATTAGTAACAATCTGACACTGTGCTCCACCTCTCACAGATATGAGAGGTCTAACAGCGTATGACGCTGTCTGGTCTGAGTGACTCTGTGTTGAGTTGACCATTGTACTTGGGTAGAGAAGCCGTCACTATAGGCTACTGCCTCTCTGGCACTTAGATCAGTGAGATAAAGATCAGGCAGGTGGTATTTTACCTGGAGGTCCCCTCTCTAGCTGTGCTGCCCTGTAGCCCTTCTGATTGTCACCTGTCCTGCCCTGTAGCCCTGCTGAGTGTCACCTGTCCTGCACTGTACCCTTTCTGAGTGTCACCTGTTCTGCCCTGTCTCTGACCCCAGTTCCAAAGCACCTGTCTGGAATCCCTCTGGCCTGGTCTGGCCTCTCCATACCTTTAGGTGCCCTCTCTACCTGTTCTACTCTCCACTCAGCCCTGCAGCCAGTCAGTCAGTCAGTTAGTCACCTGCCCTGACTCTGACCCCAGTTCCACAGGAGTTGTGTATAGTCCCCCTAGCCTGGCCTGGTCTGACCCTGTCCCTCACAGCACAGTCCTGCTAAGGCTTTTATACCTGTAGGTCCCCTGTCTACCTGTCCTGTCCTGTCCTGTCCTGCTCTGCCTCTGCCCTGCCTCTGACCCCAGTTCCATACCTGTAGGTCCCCTGTCTACCTGTCCTGTCCTGCTCTGCCTCTACCCTGCCTCTGACCCCAGTTCCATACCTGTAGGTCCCCTGTCTACCTGTCCTGTCCTGCTCTGCCTCTACCCTGCCTCTGACCCCAGTTCCATACCTGTAGGTCCCCTGTCTACCTGTCCTGTCCTGCTCTGCCTCTACCCTGCCTCTGACCCCAGTTCCATACCTGTAGGTCCCCTGTCTACCTGTCCTGTCCTGTCCTGTCCTGCTCTGCCTCTGCCCTGCCTCTGACCCCAGTTCCATACCTGTAGGTCCCCTGTCTAACTGTCCTGTCCTGGTCTGCCTCTACCCTGCTCTGCCTCTGACCCCAGTTCCATACCTGTAGGTCCCCTGTCTACCTGTCCTGTCCTGGTCTGCCTCTACCCTGCTCTGCCTCTGACCCCAGTTCCATACCTGTAGGTCCCCTGTCTACCTGTCCTGTCCTGGTCTGCCTCTACCCTGCTCTGCCTCTGACCCCAGTTCCAGCTCCACAGCAGCTGCCTGGAGTGAGTCTCCCTAGCCATGGCCCAGCCTAGAACACACTACTCCCCAATAACACATCACCACACATCACCACACATCACATCACAACACATCACAACACATCACAATACATCGCCACACATCACAACACATCACATCACATTACATCACAACACAGCAGCACAGACAATGCCTCATCACTTCCTCCCTGATAGGAATACTATGTGTCCAGATCAGAGCATGTGAGCGGTTGGAAATCCACATCATTTCAAACCACTCTGCTAAAAACAGTTCTATGGCTCACAGGAAAAAAACTGCCACTCAGAATTCACTCAATTCATTAAAATCACAATTTAACCAACATCCATCTATTTTTGTGACTACCTGGACCTACCATTTGGTTTTTAAGTATTGAAACCAAACCATATGGATTTGAATGAAAAGTATTTGAATAAACATGAAAAGGTGAATATAAGAAGGTTAATCATTTCAGATACGCTACATGTCTTATTAAACAGCTAATAAACACTCTAAATAGGTCAGGAGCCAGACAGGGAGCCTAAGAATAATGAATTATTTAGGCTATATTATTTCAATTATTTCAAGGCTTTAGCCTCCAAAGAAATACATTGTGAAGCATTTGAGAGTGAGACACTAGGCTGGTAGGGACATAAAGGGCTCAGGATTTAAACATAATTTCCTTGAATTAAATCGTTATAGTCTATACATTCTGCATATAGGCTATGACTTACTTACAATTAAATACAAATTAAACAAAAAATACCTTATTAGGCTCAGTCTACAGTGCCTTAGAAACACAAGTTTGGCCAGAGTCTGTGGCTTCAGGTTCATGCGATGGCGCCAGGAGAGCAGGCCAGCAGCAGAGACTATCTTCTCCACGCTTGCAGAGACACTGGGGATCAGGGACGGCTTGTTCAATAGGGCGATATGGGCGACGCACTGCCAAACGGGAAAAGGAAGGGATTTTTTTTCTAATCAATTATATCACGGCAACAGCAGTTATCAGTGTTCACGTCTGATCTGCCAGCCACTAAATGTCAAATCAGGCTAAAGTCGTGCTTCAAATGGCCCCGCCCGTTTTTGGGGCGATTTCAGTCAAGTTGAAAATCGCCCAGAAGTCTCTCATAGCCTGTCATGTAAAATCTATTTTTTTCACATTTCAAAGCTTTCAATACATTCTCTATGGGTGTCTGTGGGCTTGCACTTACGCGCTTTCGTCATACGTGACGTAACGTTGAACGTAACTAAGACAATGGCGGCTAGCTGCGTCTCTGTTGCGACCTGCAGTGCGGCGTTATTTTATGTTTTTAATTTGTAGACTTAGTTTACAAACATTCTGCCAACCATGGATTTCCAGTGGTTGGTTTTGGACTGATCTTGTTGATCGTGTACATACCCGCTACGAACGGACTAAATAATGAAAACGCTGCTGGCAGCTGAATCCCAATACAGCTGGGAGACTTGGCTGGATGACAGAGTCCCGGACAGAAAAGTGGAGCCGGCCACCTTCACCCTGGTCAGAGCGGACCGCGATCCTGGTAAGAGAGCGACTCTGTACCCCGACATTGAACTGCTTTCTGTGTCATTGCGACCTTACTATCAATTCAATTCAATTTAAGGGCTTTATTGGCATGGGAAACGTGTGTTAACATTGCCAAAGCAAGGGAAGTAGATAGTAAACAAAAGTGAAATAAACAATAAATATTAACAGTAAACATTACACTCAGAAGTTTCAAAAGAATAAAGACATTTCAAATGTCATATTATGTATATATACAGTGTTGTTACAATGTGCAAATAGTTCAAGTACAAATGGGAAAATAAATAAACATAAATATGGGTTGTATTTACAATGGTGTTTGTTCTTCACTGGTTGCCCTTTTCTTGTGGCAACAGGTCACAAATCTTGCAGCTGTGATGGCACACTGTGGTTTTTCACCCAGTAGATAAGGGAGTTTATCAAAATTGGGTTTGTTTTCGAATTCTTTGTGGATCGCTGTAATCTGAGGGAAATATGTGTCTCTAATATGGTCATACATTTGGCAGGAGGTTAGGAAGTGCAGCTCAGTTTCCACCTAATTTTGTGGGCAGTGTGCACATAGCCTGTCTTCTCTTGAGAGCCAGGTCTGCCTACGGCGGCCTTTCTCAATAGCAAGGCTATGGTCACTGAGTCTGTACATAGTCAAAGCTTTCCTTAAGTTTGGGTCAGTCACAGTGGTCAGGTATTCTGCCACTGTGTACTCTCTGTTTAGGGCCAAATAGCATTCTAGTTTGCTCTGTTTTTTTGTTTGTTCTTTCCAATGTGTCAAGTAATTCTCTTTTGTTTTCTCATGATTTGGTTGGGTCTAATTGTGTTGTTGTTGTTGTTGTTGTTGTTGTTGTCCTGGGGCTGTGTGGGGTCTGTTTGTGTTTGTGAACAGAGGCCCAGGACAAGCTTACTTAGGGGACTCTTCTCCAAGTTCATCTCTCTGTAGGTGATGGGTTTGTTATGGAAGGTTTGGGAATCGCTTCCTTTTAAGTGGTTACTATCTGCCCCGTGAGTTCCCCCAATTGTTTGTTACCGTTGTGTACTGTTGATAATCACAAGTTTACTGGAGAACTGAGACCAAGTAGAGACTTTGGACAGGGTGGATATGGTATAATAAAGGCAGTTTATTCAGAGGTAAAGATATCTGGAATCGCGTGCACGGACTCGTGCACGTGTGTAGGTCACCTAAATCATCAGAAAAATTGCCCCTCCTGAGAATTTTTTCAGGAGCCGCCACTGCTGGGGATGCTAAACACCCTTCGGGCCACTCTTGCCAGGCTGGGCAGAGATGCAGAGTTGTTGTTTTTTATTTTTCTATAGGTAGGCCTTCAAGGTTGTTAGGCAAAATAACCCAATCAAAACGGAAAGCTCCTTGAACTTGGGAATATGCCAGGCCTATTGATCCAAAATCAATTATGGCCTATTGTATAGATAATAGAACGAAAATGAACAAAACTTTTAAGAGATCTGATTTTTAGTTTAGATATACTTTGCTAAAATGACACTTAGTTAGCTACCCAACTCGTTCCTTTCTTTTAACATATGCATGTAGTAAGTACACCGCAACCAAAAGGTTGCTGGATCGAATCCCTGAGCTGACAAGTTAAAATTCTGTCGTTCTGCCGCTGAGCAAGGCAGTTTACCCGCTGTTCCCCGGGCGCTGAAGACGTGGATTTCGATTAAGGCAGCCCTCCGCACCTCTCTGATTCAGAGGGGATGGGTTAAATGCGGAAAATACATTTCAGTTGAATGCATTCAGTCTTACAACTGACTAGGGATCCCCCTTTCCATCATGCTTTCGGGATACGTGTCTTTTCAGATTACACAATGACTCTTTAGTTGTGGACACTACATCACTGAACTCCCTCTCTTGCTCTTGGTCCTCATCTTTGTAAGTCACCTTGATTTAGCACCTGTGTGTTTGATCAGTTTCTTTATGAAAATCTATAGCGAACTTCATGACAGTAGCTAAAGCAAGGGGCTATAGCAGCACACAAGTAGACTATAAGTGCATGCTGGGGAGGGCATGCCCTGAGCTCGAGTGAGAGCTACTGGAGCGAAATCTCCCTTTGGGAATCTCACTCTGTGCTGCAGTCAAATTGGGCACCTGCTGCTCCTCGCTCCAGCGCCGCTCCGGTCACGTACCCTGTTCCAGATAGAGCAGCTGCCGCTGGGTCACGTCACAGCACTTTAGGAATCTTTGTTGTGGCACTAACTGAGACTTTCATATTTCACTATTGTTATCATTATATTTTTCCTGCCTTCCATTCTGCACATTAGAAGAGAGACATTAATACGTATTGTAAGCACTATGGTGATTTTAGTTCCCTCCTACAGTATGAATGGATGGGAATCAAGCATCTTATAAAATACAGACACATGGCATTTCTAAAGCTGCCCACTAAAAGTTCCCTTCCAACCCTCCTGACTTCAACTACACTCAACAAAAATATAAACGCAACATGTAAAGTGTTGGTCCCATGTTTCATGAGTTGAAATAAACAATCCCAGAAATGTTCCATATGCACAAAAAGCTTATTTCTCTCAAATGTTGTGCACAAATTCGTTTACATCCCTGTTAGTGAGTATTTCTCCTTTGCCAAGATAATCCATCCACCTGACAGGTGTGGCATATCAAAAAGCTGATTTAAACAGCATGCTTATTATAACAGGTGCACCTTGTGCTGGGGACAATAAAAGGACACTTTAAAATGTGCAGTTCTATTTCAGTAATAAAGCCCTTTTGTGGGAAAAAATTCATTCTGATTGGCTGGGCCTGGCTCCCCAGTGGGCGGGCCTGGCTGCCAAGTAATTGGGCCTATGCCCTCCAAGGCCCACCAATGGCTGCACCCCTGCCCAGTAATGTGAAATTAATAGATTAGGGCCTAATTTATTTATTTCAATTGACTGATTTCCTTATATGAACTGTAACTCAGTAAAATCTTAAAAATTGTTGCATGTTGCATTTATATTTTTGCTCAGTATAAATGTTGTCAAGTAACTAATGATACCTGTCCATCCACATCACCATATATGGTCCTGACTTTATATTCAGTCATTGTACAGTCACACATTACCTGCTCTTTTAATTTCTCTTCCTAGTTAATATCTAGTTAATTATATACATCTATGGTAATAACAGGCCCTGGCTGAATCAGTTCTCTCTAACCTGGGAATACCAGACTGTGATGTTGAGACAATTAGGGAGGCGGTGTAGAATCAAACTCCTCATAGAGCCCTGATAATATCCCTTCTCTGTGTGGGAGGAAACCCTGTTCAGAGGTTGATAATGGAATGAGAGCGGTATTACAGCCACCACACATGGTCCTTTCCAGTTAGAACAGAAGAGAGCGAGTGAAGGATGGACAGAAAGAGAAAGAGGGGAGGATCAGAAAGATAAAGGTATGGAAATAAACAGAAAGAGGGTGTGAAAGAAACATTCCCCCTGCCTTTTTTTCAGCTCACCCAATGATTTGTAAGTCTTCATTGGTAACACTGTAATTATGTTTCCCTGCATGCCCCAGTGCCTCATGGATCCCTTTCTTCTGGCCGACAGGCCAATTCAATAATAGACCTAACCTCTGTCCTCAGTCTAAGGTGCTGCCTGAACCTGACCCAGGCTGCTTCTCAAATGGGAACCTATTCCCTCTATAGTGCACTAATTTTGACCAGGGGCCATAGGGCTTTAGGTATATATATATATATATATATATATATATATATATATATATATATATATATATATATATATATATATATATATATATATATATACAGTGGGGAGAACAAGTAGTTGATACACTGCCGATTTTGCAGGTTTTCCTACTTACAAAGTAGGAAAATCACATTGTATGATTTTTAAGTAATTCATTTGCATTTTATTGCATGACATAAGTATTTGATACATCAGAAAAGCAGAACTTAATATTTGGTACAGAAACCTTTGTTTGCAATTACAGAGATCATACGTTTCCTGTAGGTCTTGACCAGGTTTGCACACACTGCAGCAGGGATTTTGGCCCACTCCTCCATACAGACCTTCTCCAGATCCTTCAGGTTTCGGGGCTGTCGCTGGGCAATACGGACTTTCAGCTCCCTCTATTGGGTTCAGGTCTGGAGACTGGCTAGGCCACTCCAGGACCTTGAGATGCTTCTTACGGAGCCACTCCTTAGTTGCCCTGGCTGTGTGTATCAGGTCGTTGTCATGCTGGAAGACCCAGCCACGACCCATCTTCAATGCTCTTACTGAGGGAAGGAGGTTGTTGGCCAAGATCTCGCGATACATGGCCCCATCCATCCTCCCCTCAATATGGTGCAGTCGTCCTGTCCCCTTTGCAGAAAGGCATCCCCAAAGAATGATGTTTCCACCTCCATGCTTCACGGTTGGGATGGTGTTCTTGGGGTTGTACTCATCCTTCTTCTTCCTCCAAACATGGCGAGTAGAGTTTAGACCAAAAAGCTCTATTTTTGTCTCATCAGACCACATGACCTTCTCCCATTCCTCCTCTGGATCATCCAGATTGTCATTGGCAAACTTCAGACGGGCCAGGACATGCGCTGGCTTGAGCAGGGGGACCTTGCGTGCGCTGCAGGATTTTATTTCCATGACGGCGTAGTGTGTTACTAATGGTTTTCTTTGAGACTGTGGTCCCAGCTCTCTTCAGGTCATTGACCAGGTCCTGCCGTGTAGTTCTGGGCTGATCCCTCACCTTCCTTATGATCATTGATGCCCCACGAGGTGAGATTTTGCATGGAGCCCCAGACCGAGGGTGATTGACCGTCATCTTGAACTTCTTCCATTTTCTAATAATTGTGCCAACAGTTGTTGCCTTCTTACCAAGCTGCTTGCCTATTGTCCTGTAGCCCATCCCAGCCTTGTGCATGTCTACAATTTTATCCCTGATGTCATTACACAGCTCTCTGGTCGTGGCCATTGTGGAGAGGTTGGAGTCTGTTTGATTGAGTGTGTGGACAGGTGTCTTTTATACAGGTAACGAGTTCAAACAGGTGCAGTTAATACAGGTAATGAGTGGAGAACAGGAGGGCTTCTTAAAGAAAAACTAACAGGTCTGTGAGAGCCGGAATTCTTACTGGTTGGTAGGTGATCAAATACTTATGTCATGCAATAAAATGCAAATTAATTACTTAAAAATCATACAATGTGATTTTCTGGATTTTTGTTTTAGATTCCGTCTCTCACAGTTGAAGTGTACCTATGATAAAAATTACAGACCTCTACATGCTTTGTAAGTAGGAAAACCTGCAAAATCGGCAGTGTATCAAATACTTGTTCTCCCCACTGCATATATATATATATATATATATATATATATATATATATATATATATATATATACAGTGGGGGAAAAAAGTATTTAGTCAGCCACCAATTGTGCAAGTTCTCCCACTTAAAAAGATGAGAGAGGCCTGTAATTTTCATCATAGGTACACGTCAACTATGACAGACAAATTTAGGGAAAAAAATCCAGAAAATGACATTGTAGGATTTTTAATGAATTTATTTGCAAATTATGGTGGAAAATAAGTATTTGGTCACCTACAAACAAGCAAGATTTCAGGTTCTCACAGACCTGTAACTTCTTCTTTAAGAGGCTCCTCTGTCCTCCACTCGTTACCTGTATTAATGGCACCTGTTTGAACTTGTTATCAGTATAAAAGACACCTGTCCACAACCTCAAACAGTCACACTCCAAACTCCACTATGGCCAAGACCAAAGAGCTGTCAAAGGACACCAGAAACAAAATTGTAGACCTGCACCAGGCTGGGAAGACTGAATCTACAATAGGCAAGCAACTTGGTTTGAAGAAATCAACTGTGGGAGCAATTTTTGGGAAATGGAAGACATACAAGACCACTGATAATCTCCCTCGATCTGGGGCTCCACGCAAGATCTCACCCTGTGGGGTCAAAATGATCACAAGAACGGTGAGCAAAAATCCCAGAACCACACAGGGGGACCTAGTGAATGACCTGCAGAGAGCTGGGACCAAAGTAACAAAGCCTACCATCAGTAACACACTACGCTGCCAGGGACTCAAATCCTGCAGTGCCAGACGTGTCCCCCTGCTTAAGCCAGTACATGTCCAGGCCCGTCTGAAGTTTGCTAGAGTGCATTTGGATGATCCAGAAGAGGATTGGGAGAATGTCATATGGTCAGATGAAACCAAAATAGAACTTATTGGTAAAAACTCAACTCGTCATGTTTGGAGGACAAAGAATGCTGAGTTGCATCCAAAGAACACCATACCTACTGTGAAGCATGGGGGTGGAAACATCATGCTTTGGGGCTGTTTTTCTGCAAAGGGACCAGGACGACTGATCCGTGTAAAGGAAAGAATGAATGGGGCCATGTATCGTGAGATTTTGAGTGAAAACCTCCTTCCATCAGCAAGGGCATTGAAGATGAAACGTGGCTGGGTCTTTCAGCATGACAATGATCCCAAACACACCACCCGGGCAATGAAGGAGTGGCTTCGTAAGAAGCATTTCAAGGTCCTGGAGTGGCCTAGCCAGTCTCCAGATCTCAACCCCATAGAAAATCTTAAAATCTTTGGAGGGAGATGAAAGTCCGTGTTGCCCAGCGACAGCCCCAAAACATCACTGCTCTAGAGGAGATCTGCATGGAGGAATGGGCCAAAATACCAGCAACAGTGTGTGAAAACCTTGTGAAGACTTACAGAAAACGTTTGACCTGTGTCATTGCCAACAAAGGGTATATAACAAAGTATTGAGAAACTTTTGTTATTGACCAAATACTTATTTTCCACCATAATTTGCAAATAAATTCATTAAAAATCCTACAATGTGATTTTCTGGATTTTTTTTCTCATTTGTCTGGCATAGTTGACGTGTACCTATGATGAAAATTACAGGCCTCTCTCATCTTTTTAAGTGGGAGAACTTGCACAATTGGTGGCTGACTAAATACTTTTTTCCCCCACTGTATATATATATATATATATACAGCATCCCCACTATAGGGCTCTGGTCAAAACTAGTGCACTATAGAGGGAATAGGGTGCTATTTGGGATGCTGCCCAAGTCACCAAAAATGTATGCACGCATGACTGTAAGTCGCTTTGGATAAAAGCGTCTGCTAAATGGCATATTATTATTATTATTATTATCACCACACCTTTCTACCTGGCTGAAAGAGAGGACCCTTCTTCCTTCCTGACCCTCCTGACCCTCCTCCCCCTCATGACCCTCCTTCCCCCTGACCCTCCTCCCCCTCCTGACCCTCCTGCCCCCCCAACCCTCCTGGCTCTCCTCCCCCTCATGACCTGCATCCCCCACCTAACCCTCCTCCCCCTCCTGACCCTCTTGCCTCTTCTGCACCCTGACCCTCCTGACTCTCCTTCCCCTCCTGACCCTCCTGCCACCCGACCCTCCTGACCCTCGTCACCCTCCTACCCCTCCTGCCCCCTCCCCTCCCCGCCCCTCCTAATCCTTCTGCCCTGCCCCTCCTGCCCCTACTGCCCCTCCACCCTCTTCTGACCCTCCTCCCCCCTCCTGACCCTCCTTCTCCTTCTGCCTCCTGACCCTCCTGACCCTCCTCCTCCTCCTGACCCTCTTACGCCTCCTGACCCTCCTCCCTCTTTTGACCCTCCTGACCCTCCTCCCTCTCCTGCCCCTGAACCTCCTGCCCCTCCTCCCCCTCCTAAATCCTCCTACCCTCCTCCCCCTCCTGCTCCTCTCCCTCCTGACCCTCCTGCCCAGCCCTCAACATTTGTCTGCCAGGTGGAATTCTGTACCACAGCTGGTCCTGTGTGTGTGTGTGTAGGTGTGTGTGAGCGGTTGATCAGCCTGCTGAGCGAGGTGGAGATGGAGGTTATCAGGGTCTGCTGCGGAAATGGTGATCCAGTTACTTTTTACTTGGTTGTGCAACTTATTAGTGTGATTTATTAGTGTGATTTATTAGTGTGATTTATTAGTGTGATTAGTATGAATGAGTGGAAATTAATGGATCTCTTCAACAAAACACAGTATAAACAGTACATCAATCACAATGCAGGAACCCTGATAAGGAACTTAGTTTCCTGAGCACTGTTGTGCTAAGGCTGTGTGTGTGTGTGTGTGTGTGTGTGTGTGTGTGTGTATGTGTGTGTGTGTCTGCCACAGTCACAGTTCAAAGTGCCGCTCTGCTCTAGGCTGTCCAGTTCAAAGTGATCTCATGACAGAAACGTCCGCCCATA